TAGTCTAATGTGTGTCCTTTAGATTACAAGGTCTGTCATTGAGTCAATTGGCATAGTTTTTCGCTGTGTCCTCCGATTTCCTCCCACTGCTAAACACCCCTATGTGCAAGCAAATTATTGAAATTAAATCAAACCATATATTAATCCCAAAATACACTAGTTTTTGTCAAGTGGACATCAAACTCCATTTCTCCTTCTCTTTCAAATAACCGATTGGTCAAAACATTTTGACTTCCTCAGGAGTCTATTTGATTGAAGTTTTTTATTTTCAATACTACATGAATTAAATTTGTGGATTTGTTTTAGGATGATAAAAAACATGGTGAATTACTGGTTGTGATAAATGATGCCGTCCTGTTTTCAGTAGCTAGTCATAATGGAGATCCACATCTCCGTTATTTGTGCTTCCAAGCTAATAAATTTGATTTAAACCATAATGGTTAGTATTTATTTTATAATTAGTATATGTTGTATAATAATGTTAAACATATGGGAACTTGTCATCCTAGGGAGTCACACATACTAAACTTAGCTGTCTGTCTAGAATTGACAGTAAAACACATTTTGGTTAAGTGCAATCATCTCAAATCCATAAGATCTAAATATTACCGTTGCCAGTCAGCACGTCAGTTATTTGCTCAACCGGAGCTATATAATAAATTGCTAGCTTTTTTAAAAGAGACAAATTTTTATTCCAAATTTTAATTGTATATATTTATCATATATTGTGTTTTAAATATTTATATATGTAAAGGAATTGACATATTTATTTTTAATTATATTTTCTGTGATATTTGTTTTTATTTGCATATATGAATACAAGTCTGTGATATTGTTTTAATTTGTCTCGTTAAATTCACCATATGTCAGGCGCAATATAGCCCGGTTAGAGCTGACGTGCCATAAAACAACATTCCATTTCATTTCATTTCTGTCTAGAATTATCTCTGCTTGAGAAGAGACACTAAGCAAGTTGACCAACATTATAGATTCCTAAATCAACAATTTTAGTTGGAATTTTGAGAAGTATTTATTTCGCTTCCATTTAATAAAATTGAAAAGATTTATTTAGTCTTTGTGTGTACGACAGAATGATGTCAAACAGAGTAAAACCACATTAAAAAATGATATAGTATACTCATTTTTGGTTATGGCGACCATTTAGGGCAGAGATCTATTCTCAAAGTAGATAGATTTCTGTGTGCTGAATTGGAGTCACAATTGCTCAGTAAGTATGGTGCTGACTCACTAACCAGGAGGTCCCAGGTTCCATTTGATCAAGGTGTTTGTTGAGAAAGTTACTCAGGGTTTTCCAGCCTGGTTTCCAGTTGTGTGGAACAGAAGTCCGGAGGAGGAAAAGTGTATAGTTAGTTGTTCGGATGTAGGTGTAAAGGCTGTGGTCCAAGCATAATTTCTAACCTAGTACACTGGTTTTGCAAATGTCCATCTTCATTAGTATGATAGGCATTAAGAGTAAGACGTTAAAACTGTTAATCCCTCATTTTGAATCTCTCTGGTCTTTAAAAGCCCTAGTATAAACCAAAGCCTAGTAGTAAGTATCTAATTTTCTGGAATCAGATTGACTTTTGTAAATTCTAAAATACAAATAGAATTCAATGTATTTTTTTTTATACAGGATGTGTAGATGGACCCATTATGTTTGGTGAAAGTGCCATAGATTGTATAAAAACAGAACAAAATAGAATATTAAATCATTGTATAGGAAGATCAGAGCGAGGTGTTCCTTCCAAACTTGCTGGTCAAGTTGGACGTGGTCCAGATTCTATGGACATGTTATCTGTAGCTGTTAAAACAACTTTAGATACCATTAACAATGTCAAGGTAAAATATTTGCAAAAATGAAAACTAATATTTGTTGTAAACTTCTGAAAATCGGGAGCCACGTGGCTGAGTGAGTAAGATGCTGGCTCGCTATCCTGGAGGTCGCGTGTTTGCTCCCGAGGTCCCATGTACACATTGGCATGCACGTAAAAGATCCCTTAGCAGTTGGAATTCGATGTAAGAGTAGGTCATAGCGCTGCTGTCCAGGCAAAATTGCCTTCATATGCCCATTTTCATTAGCCCAGCTGGAGCAGAACAGTAGGACGTTAAACACCATTTCATTTCATATTGTTTCATTTAGTCTGAAAATCACCAAAGTATTCCTATCCTATTATTTAACTTAGACAACAACACAGTTTCCGTTTTGAATTGAAAAATCAACCTTGAAAAACCAATTCTCACATTTGGAATCTAATAATAATATACTGCTGCTTAAATGCACACACATACAGCCCTTGGGGGGTTTTTTTTGTCCTCTTCCGAATGACTAGGCAAACTTGCCTTGTCAGATACAGGCACCAGGTTTCGAACCCGGCAAATTCTTGTCGTCGATAGGCCAGTGCCCTACCACTTGATCACTGCTTTCACCAAAAAAGAAATGGAATTGAAGTTGAAAGGTTAAGTTAAATCATATTTAATACAGCATACAACAGTGCAAAAAAAAATTGCAAATGAAAAGATCAATCATATGTTCTAAAAAGACTTAGCACCCCCTGTCTTATGCACAACATTTGCCATTGCCTATAAACTGTAGCAGGATGATCGATAAGAATTAATGATGCTTGTAAATTTATAGTATTTATTTATACCCAGGACTTCACTGTATCAGTATGTGTTAAAGGTGGTACATTACATCATCGAATGGTAGAGAGTGGGGAGAGCTGGATATCTCAGGTAAATTACTCCACTCTTGTTTTATATTATCCCAATAATACAATTTACAAACTAATGATACAGTGTGAACTACTCAGACTCTTAACTTGGTGCAGAAAAGTCAGACTTTAAACTTGGTGCTGAAAAGACAGACTTTAAACTTGGTGCTGAAAAGGCAGACCTTAAATTTGGTGCTGAAAAGGACAGACTTTAAATTAGGTGCTGAAAAGACATACTTTAAACAACATTTCATTCATTTCTGACCGTGAATTAATACATGTATTCAAAATGTATAATACTGTAACTGAAATTATATCTTTACTTTCATCTTCATGGTTCTGATTTACTACATAGTATTGTCAGATATAACATTAGATATATATACAGCAGCTTCTGTTCAGACAGTTGAAATATGCAGCATTATGCACAAGACTTTAATATGTTTATAGATCGATCAGGGGATGATATCGTGATATGATTTGAACATCCACATTTTCATTGGCTGTTGACAGTACACAACTAAATAAGAACACAACACCTGAGTCTGGTAAAATAAAGACAATAAAAACTGAATTGATAAACATAATGTTGAAGTTCAGTGTGTGTAAGTCTTAAATGCTTTGTGTGCAATTGGGCCCTGAATTTTGCCAGAGAATCACATTTTGTAAAATATTGAATAAAAGTTGTTTTTGAATATGTTTTTTGTGTATTGTAAAAGAGTTTTATACATATATTTTGTATATTGCAGGCATTAGATTTATTAGATGTAAAAGATTATCCTATATTAGGATATATTGAACCAGAAGTTATAACACAGTTACATGTACATTTATGGAGTTGTGCTATAGATTATAGGTAAGTTTATAACTGTTTTAGATCAGCTAGTTCAGTTTTTTATTTCTAAACAGTATTAGATTGTGTACTTCAGGTTCATGTTTATTAACAGTATTAGATTGGGTAGGTCAGGTGTATATTTATAAACAGTATTAAATAGGGTACTTCAGGTTCATGTTTATAAAAGCAGTATTAGATTGGGTACGGGTCTATGTTTATAAACAGGATTAGATCTGGTAGGTCAGGTTTATCTTTATAAACAGTATTAGATTGGGTACTTGAGGTCTATGTTTATAAACAGGATTAGATTGGGTAGGTCAGGTTTATATTTATAAACAGTATTAGATTGGGTACTTCAGGTCTATATTTATAAACAGTATTAGATTGGGTAGGTCGGGTTTATCTTTATAAACAGTATTAGATTGGGTACTTGAGGTCTATGTTTATAAACAGTATTAGATTGGGTAGGTCAGGTTTATCTTTATAAACAGTATTAGATTGGGTACTTCAGGTCTATATTTATAAACAGTATTAGATTGGGTAGGTCGGGTTTATCTTTATAAACAGTATTAGATTGGGTACTTCAGGTCTATGTTTATAAACAGTATTAGATTGGGTAGGTCAGGTTTATATTTATAAAAAGTATTAGATTTGGTGAGCGGAGTGGAGGAGAGGGGAGGGCAGCTCATAATATCTACGATTACAGACAATGTTGATAGAATATATGTATAAGGGGAGTGGGGTGGGGTGGTGACCGCCAGACCATTATATCTACCATTACAAGCTGTGTTAGCAGAATAAATTTATAAGATTATGTTCATGTTGTTTTTTCAGACCATTATATCTACCATTACAAACTGTGGTAACAGAATAAATGTATAAGATTATGTTCATATTGTTTTTTTCAGACCATTATATCTACCATTACAAACTGTGGTAACAGAATAAATGTATAATATTATGTTCATATTGTTTTTTTCAGACCATTATATCTACCATTACGAGCTATGTTAACAGCAGAAGCTTTTAGTATATCTAGTAATATAGTTACAGGTTCACCTACATCTTTATTACGGTAAAACTTAGTTTATTCCTCCTATAAGTTAATCTGTTAGTATATCATGCTTTCAGATCTGTTTTTTAACTGCAAAACTGGGGTTTTTTTATGAAAAGAAAAAGTAGAATTATATAGTGAAAGTGTTATGATGAGGTGACAATAATTGAAATAAAATAGTCATCCTGTATATCCTGTCAAACAGTACAATCAAACAGTTGTTTAATATGTATATTAATAGATATGTTTTATTCTATATACTTCAGGTTCCAATTAGATGATGCAGCACTTTATCTATCTGATAAACAGTTTATGGAAGTAAATATTAAAGATGGTAAGTGTTGAATATTACAGTTATGATTATAAAATTATAAAACGTGACTGTAATTATGGAAGTAAATATTAAAGATGGTAAGTGTTGAAAATAATAGATATGATTATAAAATTATAAAATGTGGCTGTAATTTCATCATACTTTAAAACAAACAAAAATGAATTGAAATAGGGTTAATGGGGTTCATTAGGGCTTAAAAAGACATGTATATACCATGCAGTATGCTAATATTAAAGTTTTGCCCAGACAACAGCATTTACTCCTCCTCTTGATCAAATTCCAGCTGTATGGGATTCTTTTATGTGCACACTATTTTGTAGACAGGACCTTGGTTTTTCTTCCTATCCCATTTTTGTGCACCTCTGAAAAGTGGAAACCGTGGAAGAAAACTCTAAAGAACTTTCTCGGCCATATGGCTCCATGAAGAAACATTGTACATGTAATTGGTTAGGTTAGACAAATCATAAAGAAGGGCCCCTATCAAAAAAATTTTTGGCACATTATCTACAGAGTTATTGTCTTTGACAACCAAGCTGTTATTTGCAAATTTTTATTTTTTTCATTAGAATATGTGTGTGTAGCAGATTTAGAAAGACTAGAGTTATCCTTAAAAAGCAGCGATGGTAAAAATCAGGTATGTTGAATTTTTCCTGATTTTTTTTATTTTCAAATTGTGTTGATATTATTTCATTAGATTTTGGTCTTCATTAACTTCCAGATGTTGTCCACACTGAACTTGAATAAAATTCAATTGTTTCTACTTATATTTCAGAAATATCCTAAAACTGATTTACGATTAAATACTAATCGTATTAATATACGAACATGTTCTGATTCATGTCGAGCTCTATCAGATATTATTGGGTATTTCGCAACTGATGGTGATTTAAATCCAGAAACTAATGAACAAGAAGAAAGTTTGATAGATGATGAAGATTCTTATAAAGATGATGATACAGTATGTAAAAATATATTATAAACTCAATCTGTAAAATTTTAATAAAGAATTTAACAGTAGATTGAGACCAAGTTAAAGGAAAGAGAAATGGGGTTTATCGTCCACTCGACACATACTATATCATTTCGGCACTAACATATGGTTTAATTATATTTCGATAATTCGCCTGCACATAGGCTTCTTTAGAAATGGACGGAAACTGGAATGAACTACAGCTATGAAGTTTACAAAATAATACATTGCTAATTTAGTAACACAAATTATCTCTTATTTATCCTTTCAATATACAGATCTTTAGAATTTATTTCAATAATTCACTTGCGCATAGGGATCTTTAGCAGTGGGAGGAAATTGGAGGACCGTAGTCCTGCCACGTGTAAGCAGGGGATCGAAACCATGCCACTTTAACCAATGACAAGACCTTATGATCTACATGTAAAGTCCACACCTATTGCCATTCTTGCAAAATTTCAGCAGATCTTGACACAAAAGTTATTTTGAATTGAAATTTCATTGATCTATGCTGTTTGCTATGTAATTAGCTGGCATTCATTTTGTTCTTGGCGAACAGAATTGATAGACCCGAAAGGTTATCTAGTGTTTTTATTTTTATTTTGTTTTCTTAATTAAATGTTAAATAAACAATCTGAGTACATACTAGCCTGGATTAAGCCATGAAAAATATTTTGCCAAAAGATGCTAATGATGCATCATTGCTTTAAATGGTACATCTTAAAAGTCATTAAGATAATTTCTATATACATGTATAATACAACTTTATGTATAATTGAATTTTTCAGTGTTCTTTAACCAGTGATATAAGCGAATGTTCTTCTATTCCACAAGAAACAAATCAAATGACTGAATCATGTTTACAAAAAGTTAATTGTATGATGGCAGACGCAATGAGAGAATCCAGTTCTTCTACATCGGGTTCAGGTAAATATCAGCTTTTACTCAAATGACACACTATTTATGGATAACAATTACTATGGTTTATTTCACTGCGACGTTTCAACAAGATTTCACAAGTTGTTATCAAGCATATAACACAAATAGGAATTTAAAGGAACAGTGTGGTTAAGACACTGGCCTCACATTTAGAATCTTTAAATTTAAAGCTTGGTTCCTTATTGCCAGGTATAATGCATGTATAACATGCAAAGAGTATCTACCGGTGCTCGTTTGAAAGGTACAAAATATGAGGATCCATGACAAATTGAATATGTACAAAAAGATCCCAGTGCAGTTGAAATCTGAGGAAAGTTATTTGTAAATAAGCTGAATTCTTCACCAAAGCCTTCTCATTGCAATGGCTTGATTAAATTCAAATTATTGTGTGTGTCTAACACACCAAGCAGTGAATGAATTCATTTCCCCGCTTGATGCATGATTTGGTACAAAACCTTGAAGGCCTATTTATTTAGACATGATATTTATTAGTGCCTTTTCTGGATTCTACTTGCTTCTTAAAAATCAATCTCGACCATATCTTGATGGGTAACTGTGAGTGCATTTTCTATGCTTTATATTATACAGGATCACCAGAGAGACAGAAACCATCAAGAGAGATCTATTTTGTACCAGATGACGAGGAATCATCAGATGACTTTTATTCTGAAGGTATACATCAGTCGTCAGGGTTACAAGAGATAACTGTCTCACCAAGTTGTGATTCTATGACTAGCAGTGTGTATTCTGATAAAACCGAGAAATTTAGTGACGATGAAGAATTCTGTATAATTGATGATGCTGGTTGGGGAATATCTGTAAGTTATAACTCTTTGGTAGAATTGTTCAGATAGCATTCAAATTAGGTCATGCCAATTTGATTTTCCCTTCTTCAGGAGCAGCTGTTAAATTTTGTCTTCTTATTTCTTCAGTACAAAATCTAATTTATAAACAAAAAATAGTTGGTTTTGCTGTTCAAACCTTTTTAGTTTCAAATTTTTAAGTTTTTAAATTTTAAGCTACACACCTTTCATGTGATTTAAGTGGCTATTTATTTATCAGCACCTTGATTAACAGAAATCAGAGAGCATTCAATATAGAGTAGTAGGTTTAATTGTGGTTTATGGGGTCATGGTAGTGAGGAAACTGGACTCTTAACAAGAATTGATGCAAATCCTGACTTAAGCTGAGAAGACAATTTTAGGTTTTCTACCTCGAACTCCAATTATTAGGGGGGTAGGGCATACAGGACTGACAAGGACATTGTGTGTAGTTGTACGGATGGAATGCCAAACCAAGACTCATCTGTGTACACCTTGTCGTGCATGTGAAAGAAGACTTGAAAGTTGGAATTCGATGAAGAGAAGATGTATAACCATGTTTGTTAGGTGTTAAAATAAATTTAATTCCATAGCTTTGACAGTTAAATTATTTGTATTATAGTCTAAAGATGGTCAACCAGCTATAAGAATATTTAGTAAAGAATCCATAGTAATAAAAGACAATTATATAAGTCAACCATTAGGTAAAACAGATTTATTAAAAGCACCAGACTACTTTCCACCAGCAGACTATAGATATACATTAAAAGAATTAACTCTAATATGGTACATGTATGGCGGAAAAGATTTTGGCACTGCTGGTAGATCTTCTAAAGGTAAGCTGATATCTCAAACCAGTTCCTACTTCACTGGGTGTCACAGCTCTTAATCCAAATTTTTATTGATATTCTGTCCCCAATGTCTGATAGCTATAGAGTCAGATAGCTATAATATATGTTTTCCGATATTGGCCTGGGGTAGAGTCACAGCTATATGTTGACAGATATCGGCCTGGACCAGTCAGATGTCTATATTTTTTTATATATAGGTCTGTGCCAGTCAGATATCTGTAGACCTTATTTCAGATGTCATAATTATGAAGTATAAAAACATCCTGGTGTATGTGTTAGGATGAGGAGCCCTGGCCCCGGTTTCACAAAACATTCTCAAAATTTACTCAAAATTGTTCGCCTTATTTTAACTTAATTATAGCCTTTTATAACACTTTTGCTGTTTTAATGTATCAAATACATCAATAAGAAAAAATGTGCAAATTTTTGTGTTATTGGATCAAAGATATTTCTCATAAACAGTGATTGAAAGTTGAGTAAATTCTTAAGTCTGAGAATGCTTTGTGAAACCGAGGTCAGTTCTCCTCCGTAATTTGAATTTTAGAATATAACTGTACATATCCAAAGTTTTTATGAATCTTAAAACTTGTCTGTGATGATATAAAGATTATATAATCTGTGTTTAATATTATTTATTTCAACAGGACGTGAGAGAAATTATTCTGGTGACTCACCTAAACCTAAAAGGTATTTAAATCATCATCTTGTTTATTTATTGTTTTGAAACAGTAATTATCCAAAATTAATCAGTATCCAAAATGGAGAAATTTCTAATTAGCAAAAGGCACAACTTCTACTGTACTAGTTTGATGTGTCTAAAGATTTCTGGAACAATTTCTGAGATATGCTACAGAAATAAAATTCAGATGGAAGGAAGGACATTGCTCATTCATTTCAATATCCCTTCCTAAATCCATTTGGCACAGAATAATAAACATACAAATTTAATAAATGTTCCGCAAAGCAAAACATTGTTCCAGTGTCTGAATAGCCAACAACTATGTCTATTGAGTTGAGACTGGTGAAACAGGCTGTTCAGAATGTTGTACATGTAATATGGTGACTCAAGTTGTTCAGTATGTTGAACATGTAATATAGTGATTTAAATTGTTCAGAATGTTGTACATGTACAATGTGATATGGTGACCCAAGTTGTTCAGAATGGTGTACAATGTAATATGGTGATTTAAGTTGTTCAGAATGTTGTACATATAATGTGGTAACTCAAGTTGCTCAGAATGTTGTACATGTAATATGGTCATTTAAGTTGTTCAGAATGCCGTACATGTAATATGATGACACAAGTTGTTCAAAATGATGAACATACAATGAAGAACTTTTTATTTTTACTTTTTAACAGATTTAATTTGCCAGATTTTGGTAAATGTTTGTCTAAAGAAGAAATTCCTGTTAAGAAGCGACCATCTTGGCAAACAAGGGGTGGGCCAGGGCGAGACTGTGATACGCTAATGGAACTTCAACTCAGTAAAGTAAGTTGTCCTTCAAATATTATCAACAATTTAGATATCAACGAGACCATATAATCAAGTGATCATCAAGTGATCACAGTAGTACTACACCATATATCTAGTGATCACAGTAGTACTACATCATATTATCAAGTGATCACAGTAGTACTACACCATATTATCAAGTGATCACAGTAGTACTACACCATATTATCAAGTGATCACAGTAGTACTACACCATATATCAAGTGATCACAGTAGTACTACACCATATTATCAAGTGATCACAGTAGTACTACACCATATTATCAAGTGATCACAGTAGTACTACACCATATATCAAGTGATCACAGTAGTGCTACACCATATTATTAAATGATCACAGTAGTAATACACCATATATCAAGTGATCACAGTAGTAGTACACCATATTATCAAGTGATCACAGTAGTAATACACCATATTATCAAGTGATCACAGTAGTAATACACCATATTACTATTTACTATATTAAAGCCATCTGTTTAATAAAAACAGAGGCTTATGATTAGATTGGATCTTTTAATACAGAAACTCTGTGCCAAAAAAACTAGGAAGCCATAGTGGCTTATAGTGATTAAGATGTTTGCTCACTAACCTAGAAGTCCTGTGTTCAATCCAGGTGTTTGCAGAGAGAGTTAATCTGGATTTTGCAGCGTGCTTCACCTTTGTCGATGGTGCAGGACGGAGGGCCTGGAAAGAGACAATGTATAGTCATTTGGATTGGACGAAAAACTGAGGTCCTGTGTACACATAGGTGTGTCCGTAAAAGATCCCTTAGCAGTTGGAATTCAAAATAAGAGTAGGACATAGCCTTGCTAATTTTATTAATTTGAATTGTTAATTTGAATTGAATTGTTAATTTGAATTGAATTGTTAATTTGAATTGTTAATACTAGGTGAGGTTTCAGTATGATATATATCCACAACATACAGAACAGGCTTCCAGACAAGTTTTAGTTATACATGAATTAGAAATAAGAGATCGTTTAGCTTCATCACAAATCAACAAGTTTTTATATCAGTACACATCAGAAAATATTCCTCGACAAACTAACGCTAATATGGTAATTATTTTATTTGTTGTCTTGTAATACCAGATTGTTCTACAATTTTTGTAAGAGAGAATTTGGGGATATTTGATTTAAGACTGTGGAATCGATTTCTGTTAATCCTGCACAAGTTTTAAATTAAATAAACTTTGGGGTGACAAAATACGATACTATTGTGGAGCCACAATTTGATTGAGAGGATTTCCAGTGGTGAAGAACAGAGGGTCAGACTAGGAAAAGTGTCTAGTCATTTGGATGGGAAGAAAAACACTAGATCTAACCAAGTATATCGTTAGCATCCACATTTAAAATAACTTTAGTGTTGGAATTCGATGAAGGCTAAGTGGAAACTCTGCTGGTCGGGCAAACTTTCCTCATAGCACACTGCTCCTCTTGATTAGCCCATGGGAGCCACGGTGGCTAGGTGGGTAAGGCGCTGGCTCTCTAGCCTGGAGGTCGGGTGTTCGATCCCTGCATTGGCCGAGAAAGTTCATCGTGATTTTCCGACGTGGCTTCCCCTTGTCAGTGATGCAGAACGGAGGGCCTGACAAGGACAGCTGTCTAGTCCTTCGGATGAGACGAAAAACCGAGGTAAACATTGGAATGCACGTAAAAGATCCCTTGGCAGTTGGAATTCGATATAAGAGTAGGCGATAGTGCCGCTGCCCGGGCAAAATTTCCCTCATAGCACACTGTATGGCGTATGCCCGTCTTCATTAGCCCAGTATAGGAGCAGAACAGTAGGACGTTAAACCCCATTTCATTTTGATTAGCCCATTCGTGCAAAAAACTAGGATGCTAAACTTCCTTTCATTTCACTGTTTATTTTAAGCCAGCTAGGAGATAACTTAATTCATAACTGTTTTATGTCTTGATTAAAAAATTTAAAATTGACATGGTCAGAGTAATTATATTTTTTTTTTAAGGTATTAATCAAAGCTCTTCATACCCGACCTGATCCTAAACTTCATAGTCAAGAATGTGCTTTAAAAATTAGTCTACTACCATTACGCTTGAATATAGATCAAGTAAGTCTAGTTATTAGTCTATTGTAGCACAAATTAGAAATTTTCTTGATTCTGATTGGTAAAAAAGTGTGGTCGAATGGACAATAAACGGCCTCTAAATTATCAAGGCAAATTTATATCTGATCCGTTAAAGCTTTAAATCATAAGGATTCATAAAAAAGCAGTTTCTGAATATATTTCTCACTTTTAATTATTAAAATAATTTGAATAGGAAACAAAAATTCTATGTACATGCTCTTGTCAGAGTCGAAATTTTAAATGTTTAGATTATTCATTTCATTGTATTTCAGGATTCACTATTTTTCTTGAGAAATTTTTTTATGGAGGTAACCGGACAAAAAGCCAGTAATCCATATGAAGTTTCTAGTGGGAAAGAGAAATCATCACCTAGTAATCCTAAAAGTATGTCGTCCGCAACTCCACCACCTGTGATGGGTGTAAATAAGTCCCAGGATGATGATACAGATCCCGAACCAGATGAACAAGTGTTGTTAATCAAGTTTGAAGAACAAGATGCAGCTCTTCAAGCTAAATTATCAGTAGAAACTACAGATAGTACTCAAACTGAAAGTCAACCTGTATTCTTCAAGTGAGTTATTTTCTTTCAAATTAAATATCTCATTTTTATACTCGCACATTTTGTAAAACTATGTAATACCAAGGTTGTGGATCCTCCAGAGGTCACAATTTTTATCCGATTTTGATAAAACTTAAAACAAGTGTTTATATCCCAAAAATCATGGTTGTTTTTGATATTCAGGCATATTGGACCATATCTTCCTGGATTATGACCCCTGATTGTACAAAACATCATGTGTTTAGCTTATGGACCCTCTAGAGGTCACAATAATTGTCCGTTTTTGATGAAACTAAAATACATGTTTATATCCCAAAGGTCTGGATTCCTTTGATAACTTCCTTGATTATGGCCCCAGATTGCATGGCAACTGCTTGTTAAAAAGACTTTGAGAAATGGTGTAAAACCACTGATCATCATCTGCTGTGTGCTGTGAGGGAAATTTTGCCCATACAGTTGTGTTTCTGTCTACTTACCCTTTATCAAATTCCAAATACCAAGGTTTTTTTTGCTTGCTTACATGTGTATGTCGCCTCAGTTTCTTGCCAGGCCCTCTCCGTCTTGCACCACTGACAGGAACTTTCTTGTCAAATACCGGGAATGAATCCAGGATCCCCTGCTTAGTGAGCCAGCGATTTACTCATTCATTGAGCCACCATCTCTCGACAGACAGTCAAGACTGGCAACTACGACAGAAAGAAAAGCCCTGCTATGTAACAATTATGATCTGCCATTAAAGGCATAATAAATCTGATTAAAATACCTATCTATATTTCGTTTTGTTTTTTACATTTTTGATGGCCTACACTACATGAAGATCTGACCAGTTTTACTGAAAGGTCGAGTCAGGGGTCGTACGAGCGGCTTTTGACCCTGTGACGTCAAAAATTGATTAATCAATCAGTGTTGATGTTTCTAGTGGTTTACTCACAGTTCCGTGCATGGCACACCAAGAAGTCGCTGTAACAGATGTTTTCATTGGGTAACACCCTCACGCCATCCAGATCCTAGTAAAGTACAGACAAATAAAACAAAATTTTAAACTATAAAAAAATGAAACAAAATAGGATCTATGTTAATCAGATTGCTTCATGATGCAGTAATTATGAATTTGATTTTATTTCAGAACATTGATATTTTCACCAGATGTACCGATTAGACTAGATTATCATGGTAAACGAGTTGATATGCAACAAGGTACATTAGCTGGTTTATTGGTAGGTTTAGCTCAGCTTAACTCATCAGAACTCAAATTACGCAGGCTCAACTATAAACATGGGTAAGTAATTCTCAAACAGGCCATGCTAGATAATGACAGTTTTACTCGAACAGGCTATGTTGATTTATCAAAGTTTTATACCAACAGGCCAATTAACAGACCATGCTAATTATTACAGTTCGGGTTTATACATACAGGCCATGCTAGGTTAAGCCTTATCACTGTTTTACTCAAACCGGCCATGTTAACAAAATTATTGTTTTACACAAACAGACCATGTTAGCAGCTAATTACAGTTTTACTGAAACTGGCCATGCTAGATAATTACAGTTTTATTGAAACTAGCCGTGCTAGGAAATTACAGTTTTACTCAAACAGACTATGCTAGTAAACCACAGTTTTACTCAATCAGGCCATGCTGCTTATAATGACAGTTTTACTCAAACAGGCCACGCTAGCTAATGACAGTTTTACTCAAACACGCCATGCAAGCTAATCACAGTGTTGCTCAAACAGGCAAAGCTAGCTAATATGTAACCATAGATAAGATGTTAAAGGCGCGCCTTTTGAGTTTGACAGTACCTAGCCTTGTTTATTGTTTATTTTAAGAGGAGTGTTGTATTGTTTGTTGTAGGTTATTAGGATTTGATAAAGTTATAGCCTATATAGGTCATGAATGGTTAACAGATATCCGTAAAAATCAGCTACCTAGTATATTAGGCGGTGTTGGTCCTATGCATTCCTTTGTTCAGATTGGTAAGTGACTTCAAGATAGATATGACAAGAATTTTCCTTGCTCAAATCTCGGAAGATGCTAAGACGAATCCCCCCCCCCCCCAGCGGCAGACTACAATTTGCGGCTCTGGAGTTTGAACTGTTATTAGAGCTATTCGTACCTGGTAACCACATCTTTTTCAGTGGAGTTGTTACCTATCAGAAGAAAAAAAATAAAAACTACTACCAAACATAAAACTCATACAATTCAGAAGGAACTTAAATCTAAAGTCCTGATTTTACCAATAACAAATTTGGTCAACATCTAAGTTTTTCTTTTGGATAAGCTGCTGCCTATTGTTGTTTCAAAACATAGTTGCTGTGTAAGAGTATTTCTGAGGCTGTCTTTTAATATAAAATTATATAAACAGGATTTAGTAATTATGTTGTTTGTTTTATAATAGTACATGGTATAAAGGATTTATTTTGGTTACCGGTGGAACAATATAAAAAAGATGGTCGGATTGTACGAGGTATACAGAGAGGCGCAAGTTCATTTACAACATCTACAGCTATGGCTGTATTAGAACTAACTAATAAACTTGTTCTCTCAATACAGGTAACCTAATTTTAAACTTCTCACAATTACCTGTTGCTGATAAATGGCTTATGTAGTACCATAGGTCTTTTGTCTGACGTGGAGAGCGGGCGATGTCGGAAACCGTTCGCCACATCCTACATACGACCCATGCATCTTTTCTTACTACATTTTTCTGTAGCCTTGTGATCGTCTAGAATTTGTCTTTAGCTGTCTTTACTTCTGCTTCACGTTGTGTATTTACTTCTTACTGTTTTCTTAAGACGTTTGTCTTACTAGGAATAACAATGCAACAGTTCGCTTCTACATTTTATATAGCATAGCCGAATACATGTATACAAGCACAGATTACAATACTAGCTAAAACCATTTCTCCAACCTAGCCAGCCTCGCAGCTGTCTAGGAACTCAGATGGAACCTCTCTGGAATCTAATAGAAGTCTGACTTAAAAGTTTACTATGATTTCTTTTATAAGATTTATGGATATCATGCACAATCAAGTGAACCTGTGCAATTAACGATATGATTGGTTAAATTAAGCCAAATGATGCAATGGTAAATTTCCATGCACGTGATATCTCGTGGTATTTTATAGACACATATTTTGACTATATAACTCTTTTTATGTGTCAACCCATCAGTTATTAACTAAGTTGACTTAAGTACAATTCTACATATATGTGAATCCACCAACTTGCCAAAGATATTAATTAATGAAATGTTATGCCATCTTATTCCTCTATTCCTTGCCTATAAATTTATCGTGGTTTTGTTTCCAGAGGGATAATGAAATGGGCTCCTTCTTGGTTTTGTTTCTGGTGCATATTATTCACCATATCTTGATGTCCGAATGGGCATATTCATGGTCGAACGTTTGGAAAATAGCGTAAGACATGTCTGGAATATTTGATCATATAGCATCAATTCTCTGAACATACTTCAACCTAATAGTAGTCGTGCATTTTGCTAATTAGAAATTTTGTGGATTTAATCATTTATGTGTTTCCATGGCAACAAATTTGACAAGCCTGGTAAATATGACTGGATTGATGGTCTTGATATTATCAATATACGTAGGCTAAAAGTTGATTTCTCACAAGCTACATAGAAATGATTGTGTTTTAATTAGTCTCATCATTCTCCGGTTTCCTCCCACTGCTAAAGACCCCTACGCGCAAGCGAATTATTGAAATAAAATTAAACCATATGTTAGTCCCAAAATGACCTAGTTTGTGTCAAGTGGACGTTAAACCCCATTTCTCTCTCTCTCTCTAGTCTCATCATTCAACAATACCTGAAATGGTCATCGCTATTTAAAGTTCAAGATTCTCCGTTCTTAAATTTTTTAGAAGTTTATTTCTTTAATATCTTCTGCATTCCAGTATGTAGCTGAATTGACGTATGATATGTTATCACCAGGACCAAGTGTAAGACAACCGAATAAATATAAAAAGAAATATATGTATCAACGTATTAGAAAAGGTCAACCAACAGATCTTAGAGAAGGCGTTAACAATGCTTATATTGTTATTAAAGAGGTAAATTACATTTCCTAATGTATATAGGACAAGAGAATCATTGTTGAAACGTAGCTTTAATAGAAATACAGTAATTGTTATCCATAGAACTGTTGTGTTTAATTTTAATGTGATCAATTACTAAATGCCATTCATTCAAACAGTATACAAACAATATGTATAGAGTTATTGTTTTGGAGGTGTGGAAGGGATTGGAAAGTCTCCCAAAAATGAAGCCTTATTTATAAATAGGGGGATACCTGTTAAAAATAGCCTCATATTATACACTGTGTATGGTGGCATTAACTCAAGACTCTTCAAATGTTTTTGGGACAGCAGCCACCTTGATTCTCTTGCCTAGAACTCATGTAACCATTGTTTCATATAGGATCTAGTTTGAATCCAGTCTTAATTAAATCAGATGTCCTTTTTGTTATGTTTTATTTCTCATGTTATCCTAGATTAATTGCCGTCTGACATGTGGGCGTTCAGATCACATTAACTATTTGATCAGTCAAATTTTTGAGACTTGTACTTTTGCAATGGATTATGGGTAATGAAACCCAAAGTATATCATGATATTGATGTGGATCAAAATAAGGACCAAAACAATTTAAGAGTGTCTGTGACGTGGATAATTAAGAGTGACAGGTTACCTACTAAAGTGACAAAAAAAAACATAAGAAAAGAATTGCGATACATCAATTCGGCATGTTGCTATTCAATACGTGAATCGTGAGAAGGTGAATCATGATACATCGATTCAGCATCTCGCTATTCAATACATGAATCGTAAGAAGGTGAGTCGCGATACATCAATTCAGCATCTTGCTTTTCAATACGTAAATCGTGAGAAGGTGAATCGCGATACATCGATTCAGCATCTCGCTATTCAATACGTGAATCGTGAGACGGTGAGTCGCAATACATCAATTCAGCATCTTGCTATTCAATATGTTAATTGTGAGAAGGTGAATCTCGATACATCTTGCTTTTCAATACGTAAATCGTGAGACGGTGAATCGTGATACATCAATTCAGCATCTTGCTTTTCAATACGTAAATCATGAGAAGGTGAATCTCGATACAATATATCGTTTCAGCACTAATTGAAATAAAATTATTAGTCTCAAAATGACCAAAGTAGTGTTTTGAAAAGTTAATTAAAATTAATTCCATTCCTTTTTCTAATTTTAATTTAATTATTTTGATTTCTGCATTATACCACTATTATACATAAAACTTGCCTTAACCTTTTTCATGTTGTTACCAGGGATTTGGCGATGCAGCTCATAACCTCGTCCGTGCAGCTACAGAAGAACAAGAACAAAAGGGATTGACAGGTGTAGTAGGCGGAGTCTTACGACAGATCCCACCCACCATCGTACAGCCAGTAATAATAGCATCAGAAGCAACATCAAAAGTTCTAGGAGGAATGAGGAATCAGCTTCGACCTGAAGCAAAGAAGGAAGATGAAGAAAAATGGCGAGAGGACAATAAATAATGATCAAAGGACATGAGTGATCACAAAAAACATTATGTATATTTATTTTATATTTTTAAGTCTTTATTCCCGTAGGACCAAAGTATGAATCAGCCTCTGACAAAATGAAGAATTTGTGGTACGATACAGTACTCTGTAGAATATGTTTAACATTGGGGTACCGGTACTCAGGTTGTAGAATATTAATAATAATAATATTGGGGTACTCAGTCTGTAGAATATGCGTAACATTGGGGTACCGGTACTCAGGTTGTAGAATATTAATAATATTGGGGTAGTCAGTTTGTAGAATATGCGTAACATTGGGATACCGGTACTCAGGTTGTAGAATGTATACATACATTTGGGGTACTAGTACTCAGGTTGTAGAATATATACATACATTTGGGGTACTAGTACTCATGTTGTAGAAAATATACATACATTAAGGGTACTCAGTTTGTAGAATACATTAACCTGTGTGAACTAGAAAGAAGTTAGTTCAATTTGAGTAGGCTACCATGATTCTTAATTTGTCTGAGGCTGATTCCTGACCTTTAAGGACCATATGCATCTGTCTTACTTCAACTAAAGTTTTATTTTATTAACATATTTAAAGTTAATTAAATGGCAGATTGAAAATAAACATCTGATTTGAATGTCAAATATTTTAATTCTAAAATATTAATTATAAAGTAACATCAAGTTTTAAAATTTAGATATTCAAATTGCTACTGAAGTTTGACTTATTCTAAAGTGAGACTGAAACATATGGTCCTAAGTCTTTTTTTTTTAGATTAAGAATCAGCTTTTTTATAATTAATTTTTAATTTTAATTATGTTCTTAGTTATTGTATAGATGTTCCTAAAAGGGATACATGTTTCCTAGTAAATGTTCAATGTGTGTGTTTCCCTGATGCAGGGATAAGGCATATTAATGAAGCAGAAAAATATCTGTCTACCCAATTTGTTCAATCAAACAGTAATTTTAAGCTTGCTATTTGTCTTAGATACAGCCAGTCATCAACATTAGACAATATACAAAAATATTCTGGGTCTCCCGCATCGCTTAAAAGAGCCACATGACCTGTTTTTATTTTCAAAAACTAAAAACAGCCATATTACTGACTGCATGTAAATGTTTTCCCTTGGTTACAGGAAGTAACTATAAAAACATTCTAAAGAATATGGAAATTCCCAGTATGCTCAATTATCAAGTACACAACCCTTATAAACGTTATTGACAATCATAAATGATACTGGATAATCATACCATGAGATAAATGAGTGCCTTGAACCATGATGTTTATGAGAAGTCATTTAGCTCTGTAGTGATACTTTGACAAAATAATAGCACAAAAACAAAAACCTTCCTCCCACATCAGATTTTTAGGAAGAATTGTCTTTAGAACCGGAATATTTTTTCTTGTATGGCCTTAAAAACTGTTTGTAAGTAAGTTTGTAGGTTAGATGCAACATAAGTACTGTACCAGTGGTTCCCAACCATTTTCCACTCATTGACCTTTGGGATATTTATAAAATTAAAATATCTGAACACCCTCCACATTTGTATTTACCCTTTTCAGTCAAATTTCCCAGACATAATGTGACTTTGATTTAAGTTACCAAATACTAACAATTCTAATATGAATATTACTTGGCTATCTTTTTTTTTTTATATACTCTCCATTTTTCCACTTAGAACAGAAAAAAAAACAAATTATTTTTTCTTGTATAAGATATATTTTGGTTTTATTAACATGACATACTCTATTATATCACGAATATCAAGTGTTCATAAGCTACCGTTAGTCACCCTTGATTGTTATCGATATGTTGAACTACTATCTGAGGTCCCACTGGTCATTTTTCGCCCCGGTGATGTACTACCTATGGAAATTGATGAGCCTGTTTTCCCGACAATCGAAGCTTTGAAATTTTTCGCAGTTCCCTTGAGACCTGCCGATGGTTCCACGTGGCTCGCGATGCCCCCTGGGTTTTTCACTGGGACGCCATGGAACCTGTTCCCAATGCTCATAAATTTCCATCGTTAGTACATCCCAGAGGCAAAAAATACCCAGTGGGACCTAGGACTAAAAAATAAACGATTTATTGTTTAGCTAAATAGTTGTTTACAAAGTATTTTATCACACACATTTATACGAAAAACATCAGCAACACGATTTTGTTTTCTGTTTATTGTTTATTTGAATCGATGTGCGCCTTGCCCTGTTTTAGGTGTAGCACTCAAGACTCATTATCAGTCAAGGTGTATTACTATATAGTACTATGTATGAAAATTTGACAATGTGCAAATGCATGTATTTATGTATGTGTTGTATGCAGTGTGTACTGTATGAACATCTTTCGATTCTTGTGGTTATATTAGTATGCTATGTATGTATGTATGCAAAAATTAATTCATCCATGTTGAATTTCTTTTGATTTATTACCATATAGCAGTTTATCACTTTAAGTTAAACATGCATTATTCGAGACTTTAGAACACAATTTTCCTTAGGTAAATATCTTGACAGAGTTCAATGATGAGCAATTTTTGGCCTAGTCTAAGCAGCAATAAGTAATTTGATTAGACAAGACTTTAAAACACAGTAATTTTGCATCTAATTGAGGGATAGTGATGAAACTTGGTGTATCGTTTTAAATGATAACAAGTTGTGATGGGTATTTACCACAACCTCTTACTACAACAATATTCTCAGAAACCAACCAAAATCGACTTTCAGAGATTGTGTTTCTAAGAGGGTAATTATAAAATGGCGTCAATTTGGAAACGTTATTGCCTCTAGGGTGAAGTTCTTTAGTCTTTCATAATTTATTTATTATTAATTATATATGTAAGATATTATTTTGTTTCTCAATTGGCCTCAAAATTAGTGAAAACACTAGCCTTCTCTTTAGTATTTTTTATACACCCACATTAAAGTGTGGTCGTATATTGTTGTCACCCTGGTCCGGCCGGCCGGCATCGACAAGCTAAAGTTAATATCCAATTGACTTTAAATTTATACACAGTGTTTAAGGTCATCAGACGAAGAAGACCACTATGCATAATTATCATCTGATTGATTTTGTATTTATACACCCTGTTTACACCTAGATATAATCGTTTCGATTGACTTTAGATTAATACACAGAGTTTAAGACCTTGATACGAACAAGTATATTGATTTTCAATGATTTTTGACAACTTGAACAGCTAAATCTTTGATATTAAATGTTTTGTATACTAAACGTTAGCATGAGCCAAATTCTAATGATTTTCTGATAATTACTTAATAAGTTGTTACTCTTGATCAGATTTCAGTGTATTATAAATGTGTCGACAAAAGTAAAAATATGCGACAACTCTTGTTGACTGCCTGGACGATTTAGCTGCTGTGGGTGTATGTTTCATTGCCTGGCAACCTATCTTTCAATATTGTCTGATATTAGATATGAAAATTTTTCCCGGGTATTGCTAAAATTGTTTGTAAAAAATTGGCCAAATGTTGCCCTTTCTGAAGCCACTACTAATTCTTAGTGATAATTAGTAGACTAATAAATATTTATTGATATGTCCTGTATGTAAATATGTGTGCGAAATTTGAGTTTACAGTAGAAAAAAGAACATATACACCAAATTATTATAGTCTTTCAATCTGAATATATATAGTATACCATCTATTAAATACTCTAATTTTATCACTGAAATTAGCAATTAAAAATGGCTAGTCTCATGTGTGAGGTTGGATATGCTTATACTTTCTAAAACACCTGATACCATTTCTTATTAAAGCTAACCTTTCTTACAATATAACAGATTGAATTAGGTAGGACACTAGATCAGTAAATGTCCTGGGCTTGAAACATGGGTTCGGTCAACAACACCCCTCGGGATTTTCAAACCCAGTTCTCGCTTGTCAGGGGTGGGACCTACTGGACTGACATGGTACAAAAATCTCAGATCAAAACTCCAAAATTGCTAGTGCACATAACAGATCCTTTGGTAGTTGAAATCTGAAGAGTACCGGTAAGCAGAAATGCTGCTGTACAGGCAAAATTATGGCTAAATCTATTTGTTAAGGCCAGCTCAATTTTCTTCAAGGTTGGCAAGATTGTAGGTTAGGGTTAGGGTAAGCATTAGGGTTAGGGTTGGGATTAGCGCTAGCTCTGTTTACATCTCGTGACCTTTGACCAAACTTGAAGTTGGCCTTATCAAATAGACCTAACCCAAAATCATCTGCCTCTCTTTGCACATGTAACCATAAAAATAGAATTTACCATATGTTAGTCTTAAAATGATCAAAGTATTAAGTTTATTTTCCATTCATAAATTTCCACTTCCAGGTTTGTTTATCAATATGTTATAGGTAATATTATTAATAAATGGTATACTAAATAAATCATATTATGTACATAAAAACAATGCAATATAGCTATTGTAAAGTATAAATATAATATATATTTCATCTTTTTGTTTTAAAGCATGATCAAAAAAAAACAATATTCTTCACACCATGGATTACAAATGGCAATTTTACTTGTATTCTAAGCAACAAATCATACCATTTTTTTGCTTGTCAATACTGGTTATTTGAATTTATATCCATTTCTTATCCCACATAGAATTTTGTTAAATAAAGATCTAGGGGCCATGATAGAATTTTCCTGGTTAATATCAAAGGATTAGGCAGACAAGAACCATCAGGATTTTTCAAGTCTGGCCTACACGTGTCCGGGGTTGGTGGTGCCTGCGAAACTGACCTGTAAAGTGTGTCAATGGGAAGAAAATCACAGGTCCACCTGTGTACACATTGGCATGAACATAAAAAATACCTTGAGGGTTTGAAATCAAATAAGAGAAGGCATAAACGCCCCTGTACCTCCTATTGCACATGTAAGCATCAAAATAAGAATAAACATTATGGTGGGGTTTTTTCAAAATAACTCAAGTTGACGAGACAGTAAACTCCATACTAAGTCTTGTGATTTGTAGTTTTTGAGTATAGTAAAACTTAGGATTTATTGTCCATGATGTGGAGATTATAAGATATTTTGCTTTATGTGATTAATTGTGTTTTGGGAGTTAGGTTATATGTACTATCTATATACCATGTATATATAGCATCATCAGGTGTACAACAATTGTTTCAATAAAACTATTTTAATCAATAATATCTTCTATTGTGTTCTATATGAACAGGTGTGTATATCAAGCTGTTTTTGAACAAACATATAGATATTGCTTGCAGTATGTACTCTGGTATTCATACAAAAGTTGGAATATTTGCATTTAAATAGTTCTTTTTTCAATGCTATATAAACCGATTTGGGGTGTCAGTTAAAACCAATGATAATTTAATCAGTGTCTAGTCATTCGGATGGGACAATAAACAGAGGTCATGTGTACACATTGGCATCCAAGTAAAAGAAGCCTTGATAGTTAGAATTAGATATAAGAGAAGGCTGTAGTGCCAGTGTCTGGGCAAAATTTCCCTCATATCACACTGTATAGTGTATGCCGTATGCCATATTTATTAGTTCAGTCTGTGCACAGAAGTAGGAGGTTAAACCTCATTTAAATTGTTCCTTCTCCTGTAGGAAGTAGGCTACATTGATTACATCAGTTCAATAAAGTCAACTAGGCCTAATATTGAAAAATAAAGCAAAATATTAATTATTTGAAAATGTCACAACCTATAGAAATGTATAAAAAGATCCTAATATTGAACCTTCTAATAAAATCAAATACGACTTAGAATATTTGATAGTAAAGGAAAATACAGATGAAATGAAATGGGGTTTAAGATCCTACTTTTCAGCACCGACTGGCGGAATGAAAATGGAGGCGGCTAAGATTCCCCGCCCTACTCTTATATCAAATCCCAACTGTCACAGGTTCTTGGTTGTTCGTCCCATCCTACCAACTACACAGCTGTCCTTGTCAGACCCTCTTGTCCTGCCCCAGACAAGGTTGTGCTAAACCGATTGAGCATCTGCTGAAATTGGTCACATATTCATGGTAGATTCCTCTACTTATAGTAAAATCGGCATCGAATGCAGGGATATTCTTTCAGCCATGTAGTCCCGACATGTTCTACGTGGATTGGCATATGTCTGAAGAATAAGGGAGCCAGGAATTATGGAGATTACTTTATGGGGAAAAATCACAACTATCTCCTCGATACAATTTACACCGTATAAATCTCTCCACACTAAAATCTCTAACAAAATGTTGGTTGCTTTGAGTAATTTTACCAAATGCTAATAACCATATAATACTTATTTAGAGAGTTGAATTTTGTTCTTGTATGCATGGGCGTCACACATGGGGGGTGGGGGTTAGGCCCTAACTCCTATTCATTTTTCAACAATTATTAGGATTAGGTAAGATTCTATGTGTATAAAACCTGTACACATCCCAATATGGTTTACATTGCTAAAATAAAACACAGAGAGAATCATCCTGAAAACGTGTGAAGTGAAAAGTAACTGTGTTCCATAATTGTATTGGTGTGATGTTTTAGTTTAACCCCGTTAAATATGCCAAAACAATGTTTACAGAAGACTGAAACTTTAAAAAAAAATTATGGGGGTGCCCCCCCCCCCCCGCAGTGGGAGGGTGGCCCTCCAACACTCTCCCTATCGCGCTACATCCGGCATCACAGATTGTCAACATTTTATATAATTTCATTTGCGGACCCCGCCAATATATATGTTTAACGTTCTATTTTTCTGCACCAACCGGTATAATGAGCGAACGCCATGCAATGTGCTATAAAGGGAACTTTCATCGTTCAACACCGGGATAGAATCCAGCGCCAAACTCACCACTCTCAAGGGCGCGTATCATTCTCTTAACAAGGTTGTGCGATGTGAGAATCTTTAGTAAATATAAATATTTCCACGGAGACGGACATACAAAAAGAATTTAATAAAACACCTACTGAAACCGCCCAGTTTCATCTTTTATTTTTAATTTGTAAATCAAAAATATATGAATAAAAAATAAAGTAATAAAGTATCAAATAAGAAAAATATATACATCATTTAGTTGTTAAAAAGACTAGAGATATTTCACAACACATTCAAACCAATAACAAGTTTATAACAAAGTCTTGGAGTCTTTAGTAACACAATCTGTTTTCAATTCGAGGAGTTTCCAAACACTGGAGATATTGTGCCCCGCTGTCGAATTTTCAAACTTTCAAACTATTTCCTTGGGATATGGGTAAATTATAAAACAATTCCTTTAGTATTTAAGACAGGAGTGGGGTGTGGTATAAGATCCCATCGACACTTAATATTGAGGCTAACATACAGTAATTGTTTTGTTGGGGGATCATTTTGCTGCGTTTGCACCCACTATTCTTCGATATTTCCAACCCTTAAGGGATCATTTACGTGTAGTTTATAATCTTCAAGAGCCTCTGATTTCCATCCTATAGGAAAGACGCGACAAATTTCCTTGTCGGTCCCGCAGGCGCGAACAATCCCAAAATTCCTTCTTGGCCCCACATGGATTCCAAGCCGTTAAATCATGGTTGTTTGTCCAGTTTTCTAAGTCATTTGCAATGATTTCCCTCTTTTAGGACTGCTGTAACATAACTATTATCTATTTACGTAGGTAGCCATAATCTATTAAACTGCATTGTCCCGATATCGGATTCCCACAAACGTTGCATTTCATGTGTTAGACAAGCTTGGATTAATAAGTTAGATAAAACAATAAAATAACAGTTTCAACAATTATCATAACCCATTGTTTTGTGTGTAATTGTCCGTAGGTACTGGGGGTGGGGGGTGCGGGTGGGGTGTCCATGTTTGAGATGGTGATGCTGTATAATAGGGGTTTGTAAAAGAGGAGATCATAAAAGATTGATAAGGATCTTCACTGTGTTGCTGCGGGAGGTAATGTACTGGGGGGCGGTAGGGGTCGGGGTGGCGCATGGATGATAACATCACAGGGGCATCCGCGATAAAGGGAAATGGAAACACTCTATTCACTCCTAAAGAACCATGATTGACACTTCCAGGAATATCAGCATAACCACGATCTGTAGCACCACGATTAGGAGAAACCACGTAGGAGTTGTGCGGACTTAAGGAATGATTAAGGTGTTGTTTCTGAGATCTTATGGAATCGCTACTTCTGTAACCAAGGAGATCTGCTAACACTGGGATGTTTTCAAACACGGGATGAGCCTTTGGATGGTGGACAGAAGATGGAGTCATCCCACTGGAATGATGAGGTGAGTATTGGTTGGGTAAGACAGAGATGTTGTTAGGGAGTTGGTGGTAACTATTCATTAACGGCGAAGCGTTGTGAGGAGAACCATTTGCGTCTCCGTTACTCTTTGGATCCTGGAATGCTGAAGTTGTCTTGGAATGAGAGAAGCGGTTAATGGACGTGTTGAGCATTGCTGGAGATATGACCTTATTTGGCGGTGATACCATGTCATATGCCGTAAATAGAGAAGCAGCATTGGCTTTAATGGCAGTTGTTGACATTTTCTGTTGCGTCTGCTGCTGTTGTTTAGGGCGGGATTTTTTCTTGCTTTTCTTTGCTTTTAGAACAGTCTTTTCGAATCTTTCTAACTCATCAATTACACTTTTTAAAACAACATTTGGAACCATTTTCGGTCCATCAATATCTGCAGGGGAGTTGGGTTTACTGTCTTCAGTCTGTGGTGGCGTACTGGGTTCACTTTCTGCAGAAGTCGGACTACCAGAACTTTCCGTTGAAGAATTTCCTTTCCGTTTAGGATTATTGATGACATCTTTTCTTCTGCGATTTTGGAACCAGATCTATAATCAAGAACAGAATTATGTTATTTCCAACTTGGCTTTACTGAATTTGTGCAATTAACGTAATTCAAGACATAACGCTGTAATAGTATGTAATGCAAAGGTTATCAATGCATATCCATGATGAAAATTGAAACTAGTATGTTTCATTTAGAAATATCAGAATCATCCAAAATCTTGAACTATTTTGACGGGGCAGTGGCGCTGTACCCACAAATCAACGCTATACAGAACTTCATGTATATCTACTATCTTATAAAAATAAAACATTTTGATAGACATCAAAATGATTTAGCTGTATGTTATTCTATACCAAAAAGATATTATTCCGTTGTATACCAATATCTTTTTTGTCTTTTTTGTCTTTTTTTAGAAAAAATCGGGGGAGTGTATTATGACTTACCTTAACTTGTTCCCGTGTAATTCCTACACGTTTAGCAATAAGTAATTTCTGGGTACTGTTAGGATAGCGAACCTTCTCGTATATACCACTTAATAGCTCTAATTGATATCGTGTATAACTGAGTCTTTCTCGTGGTGGTGGCGGAGTAAATGGTCGATATTCTGTAATCAAAAGAAAACAAAAATTATTACCATCCGACATAAATTTTGATAATTTCATTGATCGTCTACAAGGCAGACTTGGTTTTAGGAAAGAAAAAAACCTCAAATTTGACTATGGTGCACCTAGAATTTATAGAGCTTAGAATGTTGCAATTAGGAGGAAAATACAATTACATTATTAACATTCCGGATCATTCCGCTATTCCCTTTGAAAAATAAAATTTAAAATCAATTTGCGTTTAAGATTCCACTATTCTCATTGAAAAATTAAAATTAAGGATCAATTTGCGTTTAAGATTCCGTCGTTATCTTTGAAAAAATTTAATTTCGAATAAATTTGCGTTTAAGATTCCACTATTCTCTTTGAAAATTCACAGCCGCAACAAAGTCTTTCAAATTAGTCATCTTCCTACGGCAGTATCCGATTTGGATATACTTTTCCGCATTACGTCAGAATCCGATATGGCTATACTTTTTCACATTGTGTCATATCAATATAATACATCATAAAAAATTGTTGACAACCATCATGATATTGACTTACCATCATCTATCTCCTCATCATCGTCGGATTTGTCTGTTATTTTATCATAACTTGATGGCGCCTGAGTCCAATGAACGAGGGTATTGTTTCCGCTATCCCCCGGGGCAAGGGCTGGCCGACTGGGATTGAGATGTGTTATGACTGGCGGTGACGTACATGATGAATTAGAATCGGATGATTCGTAATGTCTTAATCCTGAAAAAAATAAACAAATGCGTAACATGTCATCACCTTTTTATTTTATTGGCCTGTACGTCTAGTTATGGTGTTGGTTTACTTTCTGCGACCTGTTTCATTATCCAAAACAACAACATCTAAGTTTTTATCATACCCATGATTTTGACAAAAAAAATATTAACCCTGCCTCAGACCTTGTCTGCGATATCTCCATGTGTGGAAGCAGATGTTAAAGTCAATTTTTTATATTAAAAGAAAATCCGCGCAAATAATGTCAATCTGATTCTGAAGGAATCTGACTTGCTGAAAGAGTTTAGTGCTTTGCTTAAAAAAAGTTTAATAATGGTTTTAAAATTTTAAAGATTTCATTGGAATATTTAAAGATTAGTAAAAGGTAAACGAAAATCATGTTGATTTTATTAATTTATACAGGGTTTTTTAGACAGCGCATCGTTTTAGTATAACTTTTAAAATTTTCGGCAAAAAGACAAGTTGTAGCCTAATTAACTCTAAGACACACTAACATGTTTAATACTACTTTGCTAAATCTTAAGAATAATAAGATTTAGGTAGCATGTGTATATAAATTATTGTATATACACAATTAATGGACAACAAAGAGATTTAATTAACACAGATTAAAATACCGATATAAGTTGATAGATAATTAGAAACTATTGTCTTAAGATTATATGTTATTTTTAGATAATACTCTTATCTAATACTCCATTTTATTTTAATCTTTGAGTTTAATTTGTTTATTTATGTTTTACTCGGAGTACAATTTCCATCTTTCAGGATCGCTAAGTTCTATGAATTATACTAACTTTATATCCAAAAATGTCTTTCAACTCCTTATGATTTTGCAGTTTGGAAGAGGAGAGACAAAACAAATTTTCAACTAGGCTTGTTCAAAAATACCAATTCAGATTTTTAAAATTGTTAACCGAACTTATACACAGACAGCCCAAAATACACAAACCTACATGCAAATTATTCTCACAAATGAAATACATATACAGAATAAACAAATCGAATTCACATTATACAGAATAAACAAATCGAATTCACATTATACAGAATAAACAAATCGAATTCTCATTATACAGAATAAACAAAAAGAATTCACACAGGCTTACTGTATCTAAATAAGTAACACATTGAATACACAAACACCATTTACAACTATTCATCACAAATGAAATATAGCCAGTTTCTTTACAAATTATTTAATTTTTCGTGGCTTTTAAGATTTGATTAAAACAAAAATGTAATATTACTGACATAAAAACGCTTCATAAATTCCTGATCAATTTACGTAAATTGTTATTGAAAACTGTCGACGTAAACTCCACAATTTATTTTATCTACTAAAGGAGTAAATCTAATATCCCGCGTTTTAAATTAAAATATAAAAGAGAAATTTGTGGAATTTGCTCAGTTTCAATGTATAAAATTTACCTTGCGTGTTGTGAACAGGTCGAAGACTTTCTGTATGAATCATAATTGTTAATGTTGATCAGTTCTTATAACTCAAAATACAGCCGAATAAATTGCACTTGTGGTACAAAGTCAAATGACTGACCACCGAAAAGCAAGCACCTTCGTGTCATAAGCTCTCCGATACAATCTAAAAGATTAGTATTACACGTGTGGCTAAATCCTCTCTAAAGGTAAGTCCTAATCGACCTGAATTCGTTTCCTGGGTCCTTGTTGTTCGCACCCAATTCCAATTTTGCACCAATTATTCAATCTCTCCTTGTCACTGTAGGTATGTTACATCACAAACGATCATGACACAGACGTATTCGCAGCAGTTAATGAAAATAATTATCCTCGAATTTATCCACAGACATTGAGTTGTCAAAATATTGTAGCTGTCAACATTGAAATATTGATAAACAAACTGTTGAACTGAAGGGAGATGTTGATCGGTGACCTCCCTCCGACTGGACGACTTGCTGTCTGAACCAAGGTGAGGTGGATCGCACCTTTTAATGACTTCTTTTACCTACACCACCGTTAAGCCAATCAACACATTCTTAAAAACTTAAGATTAAGGAAGGCATCATTACCACCATAAAATCTTATCCGTAGTTACACAGTACACGTGCTTGATAAACGTCGATCTTGTATATTTTACACATCTACTCAACTTAGTATATATATTTCTGGTAGTATATCAAAACTACAGGATTACAAATACATTAAGACTCCTATCTAAACTTGCGCAACCACCGATTGAGGGAGGATTTACTAAATGTGTTAACTGGTCATTTTCTGAATTTTCTGATCAATATATACCTTTGAATCTATTGTCCAATCTAATCCCGACCACTCAACAACAAAGGACCTTTCTTACAGGTTAAGTCATTAACGAGTAGGCCATCTTATGGTCACCGTTGCGTAAATTTTTCGCTTAATTGTCTTTTACCTTCTTAATACCAAACAGTTACCTTTTATATACATACTTTACATACTGGTCATTGAAATAAACACAAACCCAACAGAAGAAATAGTGGGGCAAAGAGTACATTATCGTAGAGGGTTGTTAACAGGGAGCGATATTAACGCCCCGGTTTTCCTTTCTGAACGTTATTGAATAACCAAAAGCTAGTACATGTATATAATTCAGAAGGTTGAATTTTTGGCAAACGATATATTAAATAAACAAACATAACATTAATTTGATTTCTGATGTTTTGAGTTTTTAAACAATTAAATGAAGTTACTGTGTATTTCGAGAGATTAACTATAATGAACAAGATATGAATCGATAATTGAGATCTCTTTTCTAATCCAAATGTTTCGCTTTCAATTTTTTAACATCAGTTGACTAGTTTCTGATGTTCTCAATTTGTGTATGATTAAAATCAAGCTACTATGTATTTTGAGAAATTTATTATAATGTAAATCGAAAGTGTTGAAATTAAGATCTTTTTTATAGTTCAGACATTTAACAAATGTTTCGCTTTCATTATTTAATATTAGTTAGCAATTAGAAATAAAGAAGTAAATATCTGCCCGCTGCAGGTAACAAAAAATCTGTAAGACAAATTTCATATCTTGACCAGTTTCAGATCCAACCAATTATACATCCCTATCGCCATGTGCTCCACAGAACAATACGTATCATGATGATGTAACTTCTGAAGCTTCTTCGTCCCCCACTTTAGATACGTTATTTGACTTTGATAAGAAATTCAGATAAAGTGCAACTAAATTCCTTGGTAGATCAAATTAGTCTTCAAGTTTTGATGTTCGTTCTAGCAACATTGATTAGGAACTGACACGATGTAACGCGATTGTTTGAACATAAAGTAATAAAGAACAGACATATTGGAAACAATTGTTTATATCTAAGCTACATCATGTAGTTAACATTATTTTATTACTCGGAAGCCGAAATTAATTGTAAATATTACTTGATACGTACTTAATGACATCAAGGCACTAGATACGTTCTTAAAAATATTTATGCCAAAGCAAAAAGTCAAACTTTAGTGTTCCGTGTCTGTCTATCAAGAATCGTCGGAATTCTGCAATGGTCCGCTTGTTTTAATATACAATCAAAATGATGCAATCTGATTAAAATACAGATCTATATTTCGTTTCGTTTTTTATACTTTCGATGGCCTACACTACATGAAGTGTCGTAAAGACAAGTAAAAAGAAATTTTGAACTATAAAAACGAAACGAAATAGGATCCGTGTTTTAACCAGATTGAAAATGAAGTGAATGATCATAACTGGGTGATAAACTGCGACCTCCGATAGCCAAGCACTTGTTTCCAGCCCGGTCTAACATACTGTTTAATGGTATTTAGTAATTGAACACATTAAAAATAAATACAACAGTTCTCTGGAAAACAATTACTTGTTTATTTTTCATTTTGAGTCTCCCTTTTTTGCTTCCGAAAAAATAACCCGATACATATTCGGAAAGTTCTATGTATTTGCAATACCGCTACATTTCCCTACTGAGGCTGATGATAGAACGGTATATGTTCTGTTGGATGACTGATCAATATTGTTCTTTTCAGAAGCAATGTAGATATCATTACGTTGTATAATATACCCGTGATGGATGTCCTTATTGTTTCTGGTTTGAACAATCTGCATCACATACTAATGCAGTATTAAATATGCATGGCCGCAACTAGCTCGGAGCATCGAGGAGGACGGGAAGTATTCTCAGGGGTGCTGTAAAATTGACAGACAATATATATTTATTTTTTTTTTATGTTCGACAATATTTTCACGGGGGGGGGGGGCGAAACGTTTTGCCCCACCTGCACCCCCGCCCTAGTTACGGGCCTGTAAATATATGCACTTTCTGTGTCTTCGTTATTGTAACGGTGTTCTAGAAAAAGGCCTGGCCTGCTTCGTAAACATACTCGTACACGCTAGTACAACTGTATTGCAAAAGCAACGGACAAGGTAAGATATTCTTACACATCATATCTAAAATTTGAATGATTTCATAAAAAAAAACTGATAACATTATGAATAACTGAAATTGACAATGGGCGCTGCTGCTGTTGAGGATTAGTAAGACCTTTTTTGTCAAAATTGACAATGGGCGCTGCTGCTGTTGAGGATTAGTAAGACCTTTTTTGTCAAAATTATAATTATCCATAATTTTGTAAAGTTCTTATGAATTCATTTAAATTTTGTATATGATGTTTAGAATATGTATAACGTATTTTCCTTGTCGGTCACATTTTGCAATATTGTCTGAGCTACTGACAAAATAACGTTCTTGTCCTTGATTAGTAAGACCGCTTTTGTCATTATTTCAATTATCCATCATTTTGTGAAGTAGAACTTGATATTTTAGCTAGCAGGCTATATTGTGTTTACAAATTTTAAATCAGGATGACATTCAATTCTCGGACGAGTTTTATATTGAATTCTCCGAATGTCTGTAGGGCCAGCTTACACCATGGCATCTTCATAATTATTATTGAAAGAAAAGAAAACATATATAGATTGTACATAGCCCCGAAGAAATACAAACCATCACAAAATCTATCCAGAGACATATTCTTATTAATGTATCGGATATTAACATATGGGCCGACAGCTTAGATATCAAAATCGTCATTTCTGTTATTTGATTAAGCTGCTATGTATTTTCAGAGATTTACAATAATGGTAAAAAAAAAATTAACACATATTTTTGTAGTTTAGACATTCGGCAAATGTTTTACTTTTATTGTCTAATATTGCTTAAAAAGTTGTAAATAATTAACTGTCCATGTGCTCAAATTTGTGGGCAGAAAAGATAATTATATAGTTGGAAATCAGAACGCTATAGGCATACACATTATATATTTAAACTGTTCAGTTGACCAAACGTCCAAAACAACTTTTGAATGGATACCCTTTTTACACCACCCACAAAATTATAAGGTGTGTATCTTTAACAGCAATCTAAGAGCAAAGGTTCTTTGTGTTGTAACGATTATCTACGAGTTATGGTTATCTAAAATAACACATGGCAAGAAAAATATTGACATAGTTTTGTAGAAAATTATAGTTGGGTGCCTTTAAGACAAACACCGCTGTCGCATCTTTATCTTTTGCATCTTATTGTTGATTCTAAAATCACAACAGTTTAAGATAAGCTTTAACAGTTTATCTAAAAAGAACACCTTTTTATAATTTTACCTCTGTAATTCATTTTGAATTAAACATCAATTTGATTACGCCCTTGTAACCGATGGAAGACAACCTTTCTGAATTGCTTTACAGAAGCTTAAACTAATTAAACAAAGGAGTGTAAGGGTCGCATCGACCTGTTCCTAGAAGTATCGAGAGATTATCTAAGGATTATCTCTACTTATCTCACCGAGAGTATTAAAGTGGATTTTATTGATTGCTAAATCGCAGGATTATTGCTTAATGTTTTGCAAATAACCGATTAACTTATTAGCTTGACGAACGGTAACAAGGTTACAGTGCCAAGTTCAGTTCGTATAAAAATTCCAAGTTCAAATGAAAAGAAAATCTTTATGAAAAGCGAAGATATTTATAAATCTATATCAAATGTATTGCCGTCTAATGTACAATCAGACAGTTCTTTATTTTACTGAAGTGGACTAGCTTTCATTTTTCCGAAAAGAACTAACATATTATTTATTGTTCAATTGTTTATTTTGTATAATTTTATAGTACCATTTTTTATTTCACAGCCATTTTTGCTACCACAACTCACATTGTGTAGTATTATTATTATTATATCACAAAATAGTTTTTATACATAACTCATATTTTATAGTATTATTTTTATTTCACACATATTTTGTAGTATTATTTTGCTATATATATCTCATTTTTAGTATTATCATAACTCACATGTTTATAGTATTATCAATGAAATGAAATGAAATGGGGTTTAACGTCCTACTGTTCTGCTCCTAAACTGGGCTAATGAAGACGGGCATACACCATACAGTGTGCTATGAGGGAAATTTTGCCCGGGCAGCGGCACTACGGCCTACTCTTATATCGAATTCCAACTGCCAAGGGATCTTTTACGTACACGGGACCTCGGTTTTTCGTCCCATCCGAACGACTTGACAGCTGTCCTTGTCAGGCCCTCCATCCTGCATCACTGAAAAGGGGAAACCACGCCGGAAAATCTGGATGAACTTTCTCGGCCAATGCAGGGATCGAACACCCGACCTCCACGCTAACGAGCCAGCGTCTTACCCACTTAGCCACGTGATCCCCTATAGTATTACACGGTATATCTCATATTTTATAGATATTATTATATTTCACAGTTAGTTTTGCTATATGTCTCATATTTTTTAGTATTATGTTTTTTTCACAGAAAATTGTGCTATGTCTCTCATATTTTATAGTATTTATTTTATTTCATAGATAATTTTGCCGTATATTTCATATTTTGAGGGATTATTTTTCTTTCACAGGTAGTTTTACTATATTTTATAAGCATTAACATTGTTTTACAAACAGTTTTGCTGCATATCTCATATTTTGTAGTGTTACTTTTGTTTCACATAAATATAGTTCTGCAATATTCTGTTGTATTATTTCTGCTTCACGAGGTGGGAGCCGCAGTGGCTAAGTGGCTAAGACGCTTGCTCACTAACCAGGGAGTCCCTGGTTCGATCCCAGTGTTGACCGGGAAGTCCTTTGTTTTATTTAACATGGTTTTTCCCTTGTCAGTGGTGCATGGCGGAGTGCCTGACAAGGAACGGCGCCTATGTTGAGAGGGGACGAAAACCCGGGGTCTCGTATACTCGTTGGCATGCAAGTAAAAGAACCATGTGCATTTGGAATTTGATGAATTAAGTGCAAAGTAAACACCGAAGAATACAAAGCATCACATTTCTCAATAACAATGTTTGAATACTCAACTAAATTAGTTAATAACTAAAATTATAATGACAAGTGGCGTAAGCGAAATATTATTCGAGAATATCAGAGCTTGAACTATTAGAATTTCTAAATTAATTTGCATTCAATAAAGAGTATAGCTGAAGGCTGGTTAATGTCGACAGCTTATTCTGGCTTGCATGCCATTGATCTATTGTCACTTTAGTAATCCTATATTTATTAGCTTTGAGTTATTTGTCCCTGGTTTATGCTATCCGAGGGACTTGTGGAAAGCATTATCATATTCCTATATTCGGAGATATATGATATTTTTTCCGAAGAAATCTAGACTTCCATGTTCTATTTAATGTTGGATCACAAGTCCCAAAATGCATGGCTAAATCCGATATTTAAACAATATAATTTCTTAAATAAGTTGCTCAACCCCTTTAATCAAATTTTGCGAAATGGGGTTTAACGTCATACTATTCGGCTCCGACTATACTAATGACGACGAGGACGCGCCATATACGAAATGAAATGAAATGAAATGGTTTTTAACGTCCTACTGTTTTGCTCCTAAACTGGGCTAATGAAGACGGGCATACGCCATACAGTGTGCTATGATGGAAATTTTGCCCGGGCAGCGGCGCTCCGGCCTACTCTTATATCGAGTTCCAACTGCCAAGGGATCTTTTATGTGCACGCCAATTTGTACACGGGACCTCGGTTTTTCGTCCCATCCGAACGACTAGACAGCTGTTCTTGTCAGGCCCTCCGTCCTGCATCACTGACAAGGGGAAACCACGCCGGAAAATCTGGATGAACTTTCTCGGCCAATGCAGGGGTCGAACACCCGACCTCCAGGCTAGCGAGCCAGCGTCTTACCCACTTAGCCACGTGATCCCCGACACGCCATACAGTGTGCTATGAGGTTATTTTGCCCGGACAGCGGCCTTACGGCCCACTCAAACGTGTACACGGGACCTCGGTTATTCGTCCCAGCTGACACATACTCGCCTTCTGGAAAATCCGGGGAAACTTCTCGGCCACACCGGGGTCGAACTCGGACAACCTGGTTAGTGAGCCAGCGACCTACTAACCGAGTCACCACTGCTCCGCAATTTAGCGATAATTTCAGAATAGTTCAATATTATTCGTACCATTTCAAAATTCAGTTTTGATTTATTACCAGAAATTACGCTTAATATTATCATCTTACATTATCCTATAAACTGTATTATTAAAGATCCACAGCGCCAGTGTACAGACTAAAAGCAAGAAAAGCAATAAAATGAAATATATTTTAATAACCTTACTTTTATAAATGTTATAACAAATATACTTTTAATAATGTTACCTATATCTAAAGAAATGTAAATCTGAAAAATGGTGTTATGATACAATTAATTATCAATTAATGGTCGTTAGGCCTATACAACAGGACCCAGAGTAAAATTTGCGCCCCTTCACCTGCACCCGGGGATGCTCCCTCGTCCTGCACTAATTAAAAATGATCGTTTGTCGTTTCGATTTGCTGTGATCTCCCAAAATGTTAGCTCTATTAATTGATCAAATAAAACATGCATTCACAAGGGAATACGGAGAAAATATACAGAGGTCAAAGAAAACTCCGCGTTTACGGCGGTTACCCTATTTTAGAGGGCATAGGAGTTAAGTGAATAATTAATGGTTGGCAATTTTGACTTGGTTTTCTGCACACAAATTCCAACACAAATATTTCGGTATTTACATCAGCTCGAATAGGCATTAGTTTTTTGAATCTAGAAATGTTCAGATCAGCTAATTCTGCTATGAGAATCAACGTGGATTCGGACAACACGCTAATTGGGAGATTCATGAGAATTTTTATGCTATTTAAAAAGTGACAGGTTAGTTACTGATGTGACGAGTTAAGGGAAGGTGTGAGTGGGGGGGGGGGGGGTTAAAAGATTAGTAGATTCGTTCAGTTTATTTCTATTAGTTCTACCCCCCCCCCCCCAACACACATACACCTCATGCCAAAAATAAAATAAAATAATATTAAAACAAAAACAAAAAATTATAATCCGGCCTACCGACCCTGTAAACATTTATTTTTGTTTTGGCCTAAAATAATAAAACATGTTTTATCATTTATATTTAAGCAGGTCACACTTCCCATAACAAATCCTAATTTCCCCATTGCTGTTTATTCCTTTACGAAATATAAACCAAAGTATATTTATGTAAAATATATAATTAAGTTTATTAATATCATTTTTTTTATTTTCAGTAATGTAAATTTCAACAACGCTAATAAAAGTGAGGAAACATCCGTTGAAGGGAGATAACTCGTTTAGCACCGGCTTCAAACATGGCCACCTTTGTTTGCATTGCCGATGTTTTGATCATTTGACGTAACTCAGAAGAACACCACTTCGGTATTGATTTTTAAAATTTAAAGAGCTGCGATGAAGTCGTGAAGAACTACACCAAACGAGAGAAGAGAATGGCACAAGGAACACAGAAATCCTGAGACAGCAAGGTAACCCTTCGATTGCAAGCGTGTGAATCATGATTATGTATTCAATGGTCGAAAATGGCGACTGCAAATGCGAGTTGTAACTACTAATACTCTCAGCTAAAAATCAATAGCGAACAATAATGTATGAGCTTGCCACTCTGAGATTTCACTTGACACAGCGGCATACTAATGTCTAAATTCAAGATATGATGTCGAGGGGATATACACCGGGTAAACCCGTATCGAGATGGGAGGCGGATTCGGATAATATTGACATTGAATATAAAAATCTGGATCAACCGAGGCAACAGTCAATGGTTAGTGAATGTTTTTCGGGTGGCAAAGGATGTGTGTTAAAAATATTGATGATTGGTGTCATCTTTGTGATAGGATTAATTTTTGGATATTTTGTACGGAAGACTGGACATAAAATCTTTATTTCACCAAGTGTTCAGTACCATGGAATATTACAGGACTACGACGCTGCGATCAGTAAAAAACTGCAGTCTAGGGTGACTCACGTTGACAATTACATTGACAGTATTAAAACATTAACATCACAATCTGATATCAGAATTTCTGGAATGGGAAATTTAAATGGTTTAGTAAAATATGTGGTTAACATGTGGACTACTTTTCACTTTGACACTGTCAAAGTGAAAAAATATAAAGTGCAGCTGTCTTATCCAGATTATACATCGCTAAACCAAGTGACAGTAAACTTAAACACTGCTGAAAATAAATCTCAAATCTTCCTCTCAAAATCAAATGCTTCTAACGAAAACGTAGCCTACCTACCATTTAATGCCTATGCAAAAAGCGGGGTCGTAAAGGGTCCGCTCGTTTATGCTCATTATGGACGGAAAAAAGATTTTGATATTTTGAATAATTTAAATGTTGAAGTGAATGGTAGCGTTGTGTTGATACGTTACGGTCGGATACATCCTGGAAACAAAGTGAAGCATGCCGAGGAGGCTGGGGCTGCAGGGGTTGTGTTATATTGTGACCCCGATGATTACACTGATGGTAGTGGTAACATCGATGGTACGTGGTGGTTGCCGAGTTGGGCAGTGCAGCTTTCCCATGTCCGATACAACCTGGTCGGCGACCCCAGTACCCCGGATTATACGGCGACTCCCGATTCTTCCCTTTCGAACAATAGCAACATGTTCCCCTCCATTCCGGTCTACCCGATAATGTACAGTGATGCGGACCAACTGATGTCCTTTATTGACAACAGTACATTGGTGCCCAGTGATTGGAACGGTAAATTAAAATCTGAATATTACGCGGGTCCAAGACGAGGAACTACTGACCATAACTATTTGGTAGAAGTAACAGTGAATAATTCTCCCGAAAAGCGATTTGTTTCCAATGTTATAGCTTCGATCAAAGGCAAACACGAACCTGATCATTTTGTTATAATCGGTAGCCATATCGATTCGTGGACACAAGGTGCTGTAGATGCAGGCACCGGATTTGCAATCCTAATGGATTTGGCTAGGACATTTTCAGATCAAATCGTGGAAGGGTGGAGACCAAGAAGAACTATCATATTTGCTGTTTGGGACGCTTCCAAATATGGACACATCGGTTCCTATGAATGGGTCCAAGAGTACGAGAAACAGCTAGGTACCGGCGCTGTTGCTTACATTAATCTGGACTCTGCCATAAGAGGTAACTACAGTTTCTATGCCGAAAGTAATCCTTTGTTGTACGATGTTATTTACAAAGCAGCCATGTCAGTAAACTGCGTCGACAGCCATCAAAATGAAATGAGTGTTTATGATATGTGGAAACAAAATTTCCGCAGCACTGAAATTCCGAACAGACCCGAAATTAATGGTTTGGCAGGAGACAGTGACCAATCCCCATTCTCCTACCGTATCGGTGTGCCTTCCATGTCTGTAGCTTATACCTACGATACTAAAACTTACTCGAAACTACCTACTTATCCCGCATATAGTACTTTAGAGGACACGCTAGAATATCTTCAAACTTACATTGACGCGAACTTTACCCGCCATATTGCTGTCAATCAAATCTTAGCAGACATCGTTCTGCAGTTGGCAGATTCAGCGTTGCTTCCTTTCAACATTACTAATTACATCCATATTGTTAAAATGGGACATAGGTGTTTGAATAAGTACCAAAATGAGTTCCAAGACGCGTCTATTGCTCTTGACGAATTGAATAGTGTCATTGATACGTTTATCAACTCCACGCAGCAGTTCCAGAAAAACTTTACAAAGACTGGCATCAGTGAGTATCAGTTGCATTCAAAAAACGAAAAATTATTGCATCTGACCCGCGCTTTTATAGTGGAGAGAGGACTACCTAACCAGTCCCAATACAGAAACTATTTGGTAGCTCCCCACGTGGAAAATATTAACGAAGAAACTGTTTTTCCGGGAATTGTAAGCGGCGTGTTACACGGGAAAACGACGGGGGACTGGGACGTCTTGCGACACCAGGTTGCGATTCTAACAATAACGCTACAACGTGCCAGTAGCATATTAAACGACGAAATCCACACCCAGTCATAATATTTTATAGCAAGAAGCGTGCTGTGTCTAAGAATTGACATTTTGTGTTGTTGTTTTTTTTTTTGAATGCATAATTTGAAGCTGAAATCCCATACCTTTGCTTTTTATAGACATAACAATACTTTTTATTGGCTTTCTTGAAAGATGTGCTGATATTATCTTTTGGGGGATTTTTCTCACAATGTTTTCTTTTTTATTTTTTTGTGTATAGTCTTTGTCTCTATATATTGTTCGTATAGAAAATGTGGTCCAAGTTGTTAATTGTTGATGTCTATTAATATAATTAATAATCATAATTTCTTCCAGTTCATATGATAATAAAAGCTCGTTGTTTTCTAATTGTCATGGTCTGTCACGTATTTCTAGTTCACGAATTAAAGGAGTAATTGTATGTTGATAATGAAGTTGGCCAGCAACTTGGACAATATAATGATACTGTTTATATTCGATGATGAGAAACAGTCTAGTGAGATATATTTCCCTCGGGGAACTTCTCGTATTCATTGTAACTTCTTCCACAACGGAACGTGACGCTTATGTTGGTCCTGGCTATAAAGTTTGCCTGCTTGCTCATATAACTTCTAGACCAATTCCCCGGTAATTAGACTTCATTTAGATCAATGGTCTTGGCGGATGCAATAAATTACTTTATCATTTAGAATTAAGATACCATTGAGAATACTCTCTATACATTTGTCGACTGTCTGTCGGTGAAACAAACAAGGATTCGGTTCAGTAATTGAAATAACTTCGAGGATAACCCCTCGGAATCTCATCAACAGCAGCACAAATGTTAAAGGGTCGGATAGGCAATTGCCACTGGGGCATCTTTGTCTGCGATGAAAATATTCTTCTAAAGTCTTATTCTTTATGGATGATTATTTATTTTATCGCAGATTAAATTGTAGATTCGTCGTGGTTTTCGGGGCACGGAAGTTATGGTAATCAAAAATATCTTTTTATCTAAAACCCAGTGAATCTTATTAACTGTAGGTTTTAGTTTAGCGCATGTTTAATTTTCGATTTGACGTGGTTCTATATACACAGAAAAAAGTTATCTTCTCGTCGTCCTATCTGTCTGTTCAATGCATTGTTCTGGTTCCGTACCACGGTCCACTTACCGACTATAAATATAGATGATGGGCAAAAGCAAGGACACTTTGAGACCCTGGTATATATGTATGATCCATGGCGTTGTATGGAAATATTTACTTCTTTAATAGTAAGGATAGGTATTTTGTTAACCTTAAATACTTGTGCAGGGTGCTTTAACAATGGGGGGATCCCAGAGAAAACCAATGAGGTTAGGCAGGCGACTTTACTCCTTGTCACGTACAAGCCTAGGGGCGTAAGTGTGCCTCGTAACTCAATGCCAAACCTCATGTTCTAAAGCCCCCACCCCATCATACACACACCCCAATCAGATGTATTGAAAGAATTTCATTATGAGAGTATAAATTTGTTCAGACCCCGTGTTCTAAAGCCAGCCCCCTCTCCCCGCCCCATCATATACACACCCAATACAGTTATAAAGAAAGGATTCCATTATGAGAATCTAAATGTGCTCAGGGATGGGGTTAATAATAGTCGAAGGGATGCTGCTCAGCCACATAAAAAAAATTGTAAAACAACGGTTTTATGAAAAAAGTGTCACGGTCATGTGCTTTATCCTTTATCATAAGATGGTGGGATCCTATTAATTCATAATAAAAATTGACGTCAAACGGGTTGTTGGATTTCTCACTTTAAATAGCTCAGCGTGTATGTATGCCTATGTAATTTGGCGACGGTGATGGCATCATGAATTGTCAACTGTCAAATTTCCTTAACAGGAACCTGGCAAACCCCCTCATACAAAAATTCCTGGACCCGCCCTGCAGCCGTCAGAGCAAAATTTCCCTCATAGCACACTGCATTGTGTATACGACCCGTCCTCATTTGCACAGTCGCTGCACAAAAGTAGCACGTTAAACCCCATTTCATTTCGTTGTGTGGTCTAACATTTATGACTGACAGTTAATACACTTTCCGAAAATACTATTAGACACACAGGATCTTCTATGGGTCATCGATAATGCTAATAACTGTGCTTGTTCGTGAGTAACTCTAAGGTAAGAAATGACGTTTGACCCCATCTCAGCACTTTCCAATCTCAGCCAGTGTATTGTACACAGATCGATAAGTGGACGAGCAATTTCCACAACCTTCTTAATCACTCACTTCAGTTACATTTGTGTGTAAAACAGTGCTTCATTTGCTCAACGTTTCATGCAGTAGGCATAACCACGGGGCATATCTGAAAGTAATTTATTATTGTTTGTTTTATTTTCTGGAAGAGATAATCGATAGAAAGATAATCGATGAACGTTAATTGATTGTAATTATCACAACCATAAATGTTCTGATAACTTGTTCACTAAACTGACACCGCCTTAATTGAGACATTAGTCTTCAGAAGTGATACTTCAATTGACAACTTACCCAATCACAGTGCATCAAACTGACGTTTCCTTGGCAGGCAAGCAATATCATTTCCGTTTTTCTTATGTCATCCATCTATTTTGATCAACCATGAAGTGGCGCCAATCTGATAGCAGACGATAAAACAATATACATACATATCACTGGAAAGATTACAGACTGATATACTTTTTTTAAAAAAAGACCAAATATGCTTCCAGGAATTGCCTTTTAATTGAATTTATGGAATTAGAAAGTTTTCCCTTAAAGGGGAACTGTGTTTAGTAAAGACACAAAATTTTTCACTTCAGACCCCCCCCCCCCCCTGCCCCTCCCAACTACAAGAAACTGAGCTTTAGTTGCACTTCATCAGTCTGGTTCCATTGTGCTAAATAGAGAGCGCAATGGACAGCTTAGGTATTTGGGCGGGTTAATAGATAGAAATGCTTAAAATTGAATCAATTGTAAATTGGGGTTGTGGGGGGGGGGGGGGGGGGGTGGGTCTGATCTGAATATCATAATGATCTTTACCCGACCAAACAGATACTTTAAAATGGTGGGTGGTTTGGTAGCCGAATGGTCTAACGGTTGAGTTTTAGACCATAAGGTCTATCATTTAGTAGTCAAGTGGTGTGGTTTGAATCCCACATATAGGGTCACCTACCTGACCTAATGGGTTTTCCCGGGGCCTCCAGTTTCCTCCCATTGCTAACGACACCTATATACGCGCAAGCGGATTATTGAAATAAAATTGTACCATGTGTTAGTCCCAAAATGACCTAGTTTGTGTTGAGTGAATGTTAAATCCCTTTTCTTTCTCTGTAACAATGGCATATATATCTCTGAGATTGCACTGTACTATTCATGCGACGTATATACGCAAGCATGGCCGTCAAAAGAGGTTTAGGGACCCTTTTTCCAACCACACGCTCAAAACAATGATGCCTTGTTTGCAAACCTGGTGAATCAGAATACCCCTAAATCAATATTTCAATCAATTTCTTTTGTGACAAAACGAATAATGAAAAACAGAGCGAAGTGGCATAGAAAGGAAATCCCAATGATATGTATATCGAAAGTACATGTATACATAATAGATCATTTGTGTTAAGAAATTAGCAATGTAACTTTAGTTTGTATATAGAATTAATTATTAATCCTGATACAACAAACAATTTCGTAAAGTCTTTTCTAAAATGAAATGAAATGAAATGGTGTTAACTTCCTGCTGTTCTGCTCCGAACTGGGCTAATGAAGACGGACATACGCCATACAGTGTTCTGTGCGAGGGAAATTTTGCCCGGACAGCGGCACTACGGCCTACTCTTATGTCGAATTCCAAATGTCAATGGATCTTTTACGTGCATTCCAATGTGTACACGGGACCTCGGTTTTCGTCCCATCCGAACGACTAGACAGCTGTCCTTGTCAGACCCTGGATGAACTTTGTCGACCAATGCAGAGATCGAAGACCCGATCTTCAGGCTAGCGAGCCTGAGTCTTACCCACTTTCTAAAAATGAAAATGGCGACTAAGTTACTTATATCCACATATGGATATGTTCATCCGAGAATAATCATGACCATAATAAATCATTACTGAAAGTTATGTTGCTTCATTTTATTTAGTCATATCCCCGAAGCAATGGTATCAAGTATGATCAGCTTACTAACTATTGACATTGTCTCATTTTCGCAACCATTTGGGCCGATTGTTTTATTGGTCTACTAAGCTGGCTTGCAGACCAATCAAAATAGTCCACTTTTCCCCTGATGTTTTTACTTCATAACTACTATTTTGGAATTTTGTTTAAACAAACGTATGCATTTTGTTATGTATTTTGTTGACATTCATCGTGGGGTTTTGGATTGTTGATGGCGCCCTAGATCTCCCCCCCCCCCCACTCTCATTTACTGTATGGACGGTTAAAGACGCAGTCCGAACTCCTCTACTTCTACTTTGACAATGTATGATTAAAGGCACAGTCCGAACTCCTCTTCCTTGACGTTGTAGGATTAAAGACACAGTCCCCTACTTTGAAACTGTATACGGTCCACGCGTGCCTTATCGAATTCCCTACAAGAATCAGGTGGTTTGGCATTATTCTTTTATTTTCGTCGTAGTTTGATTCATTTTATTCGAAGGGGCCCACACTTTTGATTGACCCTATATATGAAAACAAACCGGACCTTCGACATCAGAAGAATAATGATACAACACCATTTAAAATTATCAGCCATGGGGGGATATTAATGCTATGTTGTGGATCATGGTTATGTGGAGATATTGGAATGTACCTTGTCACTGTCAAAATGTATCAAATTATCCAATTTGTGAGAAAAATTATTGAATTAATGAAAAATAACCCAAGAAATACTTCCGTAAATTCATTTTGTTGATCTACTTTAAGATATCCTTATATAAAACCAACTTCGTTATAGAGAAATAGACATGAAACAGTATCGGTTTTCCAGACACGTTCAAACAAAATTATAGCTATATTGAGTTATTGAGAAATTGGCCGTGAAATATACAGTTGTCAGTCGAGACATCAAATACGATGAAATCGATTTAAACAATGTTTATATACCAGTTGAAATAATTTTGTTAAATAAAGCGGAATGGTGAAAATACGGCCGATATCATGGGCATTTTATTGAATCATTTGAAATTAATCGCGATGTATAAATTCTCCAGATAATATTTTAAGGGCGTAGGTTAATAGATTTCTGTGCCCTGTTTCTCGAAATCTTAACTAAAGATAAAATCGAAATTTAAGTAGATACTTCCGTGTTGATTGGCTAAGCACTAAAATCAATCTAATATTATCCAATCAAATTACTAAAATTTGGATTTTATCTTAGTTAAAATTTCGTGAAACAGGCCCCAGGTCAATAAAAACATCAACCGATGCAGATTATCAACTTGGGATCACGTGGAGATAAGTGGTATTTTGTCTTGCTGTACGTGACAAAATGCAATTCGCATATCGGATTGCAATTAATAAATCTCCCGTGTTCATCGACAGTTTCCAAGTGTAATGTGCACACATCTATACTGAAGATAAACACCATCGTTCATTTTATCAGAAACACAAACTTGTCAGCAATAAATTTTCGTTCAGCCGCTACTATAAGTTTTGTAAAACTGTTTGCAGGGAAGCTCGTTTATAAATGGGCCAGTTCACGTTCAAATAGATGAATTCACTTGAGGTATTTTGACATTCGCCACCTATTGAAAAACATTGTTGTGAAATATTCCCCGGAGTGTTTACAGCCGGATTGGTATATGAGGAAAAGCTATTAATTTTTTGGCAATTAACACTAATAGAGACATTATGTGATATTTAGATAAAGAGCTAGCCGTTCAAAAATAGATAATGAATTGGACAATGTCAGTAAAATTACTGAGCGATGTTATGAATGTTTGAAGTTTTGACAAGAAATAGCCCAAACTGTGTCCGACGATTGCCGATGGAGAGTTCATATTCTCGATTGTCAAGTACCATGCACACGACAATCAACGAAGTCTCGATGTACTGTTCGTCAACGCCGCCATGTTACCAGTATCTAAGGCATCCGATAATCAAGCGAGTTGATTATTGACTTGTCATGTGAATAAATGCCCAATTATTAATTTATATAACATTTGAAGCTAAGACCACCTAAAGATAAATTTTAAATGTTCCTATTATTAATTAGAACGGGTTTCGCTTTAGTTTTTATATTTTATGCTGAAATTTATTGCTTTAAATCTTCCTAGTGCAAAAACGGGAAAACTGACCTTTTGACCTCCGGGGTCACAAAGAACAAAGGCGAATTTAGCAAGTTTACATTTGTATTGAAAGGCTGATTACTTTCCATCATTTTCAGCATGTTTCATGATACAAGAATGGCCCCGAATATCTCGAAAACGCCCCAACGGGCAACGACGGACTGATTACCACTCGGTAATTCTACGCAAAATCATTTCAACTTGCGCTGGCTTTTATTCAGCTTCACTACATTTATAAATACAACACAGACGTAATCTTTCCGGTTTTCGAACGCAAGCATTTCTTATGGAAGTTTTGGGAGCATCAATGCACCATAAAGAGATTTCGCATTCTGATTTAGTTACTTTAAATGACAAATCACCAAGACGATAGATGAAATCCTGGAAAGCCATCTTGATGACAATTCTCGGCTAGATAGAAAGCAATTTCCTGGATAAGAAAACTGTTCGATTACTTGTGCCCCATGACATTATAAGAGCTGGAATTACATTGATGAACTAGTTTTTCAAATGTCTGAATTCAGACTTAAGTTTCATTATCATTTGCAAAAAATATAAATAAATAACTCAGCGAATTACACTGTGTTAAAGTGAGGGTCTATATACCCAGGGGCCTGTTCAGGAATTTGATAAGAGTGGGGTCCGGGGTGGAGACACAATCAAGTTTGTCGCGAGGTCTCGGGAATTACCCTAGAATTTTATAAAAATCATTTAGGTGCTTAGAGTAGTGTTCGAGTGGAGTGAGGCCAAAACGGCGGCAATGTATGGACACCAACAACCCACCTGTTTTGGCTGTTTGACTCTCAAGACGTCGCACAGTCGGAACGTCGGTATATGGTTGGACCTCCACTGTAATAAAATGGCGAATACTAGCCAAGAAGTCTTTAATTTGCCATTTAGTCTCATAGGCACATGGTGCGACAGGCGTCATACACGATCCGGGGTTGGATGGCCGAATGGTCAGCGCGTGTGCGTTGTATCATAAGGTCTGACATTGAATCAACTGGCGTGGTTTCGATTCCCCGGTTGTACGTGGGTTTTCTCCGGGACCTCCGGTTTCCTCCCACTGCTAGATACCCCTACGCGCAAGCGAATTATTGAAATAAAATTGAACCGTGTGTTAGTCCCGTAATGACCCAGTTTGTGTAGAGTGGACGTTAAACCCCATTTCTCTCTCGAGAGAAGGGTTGGGTTGGGGTTATGGTGCCGGAACGCCAGGACCTGGCATGCTGGCATTTTGCCACGAATGCACGAGGTATTGGTTTCGTACAAATTCCGCACTTAAAATAATATTGCGAACTACATTTTTACACGAGGTAGGATATTCTTACTCTTTCTGGAACGTCCAATACCACTTTGTTGTTGGTTAATCTGAGACAGGTATGTTTTGTGACAGGTTTTCTTTTTATTCTGACATTTGGGGTGGCTTTGGCATTTGAGGCATTATATGTATAGTTTGTTGTTCTTAAGGGCATTGCCATTAACTTTGACATTTTGGATTGTCTCAGTTATGTGTTTTATTGTGCTGTTGTGTGAGTGTTGCACTAACCGTTGTCGTAATGACCCAGGCAGAAAGGCGTTGGCTCGCTAACCTAGAGGTCTCGGGTTCGATTACAGTGTTGGCCGAGAAAGTTCATCGGGATTTTCTGGCGTGGTTCCCCCCTCGTCAGTGAATGGCGCTGAATGGAGGGCTTGACCAGGGACAACGTATAGTCGTCCGGATAATATGAAAAACCGCAGGTCCGTGTAAAAGAACCCTTGACAGTTGTAATTCGATATAATAGTAGACCGTAATGCCACTGTCCGGTCAAAATGTCCCTCATAGCACACGATATGGTGTAGCCTATGTCCATCCTCATTAGCCCAGTCTGTCATACCATTTTATTTCACATGGTTTGGTAGCTCACATGGAGCGCAATGTCCTCTTTCTCCCGTCCGCCTTGTGGGCTAGTCATTTGTCTATGGTGCTGCCCCCTCCCCACGGCGCTTGATATTCAGACTTGTTTGCACTGCTAGCGGGGAACGCATATGTCTGTAAACATCTGTGTTATGAAAACTGGTCTATTGTAAATAACAGAGCTTTGATAGCTAGTTATTTCAAGACTTTAATTTTCCAAATGAGTAACTTTATCTTAAAAGCTCAGATTGTCATTAAAAGGTTGATCCATATAATACGCCCATGTAATTCAATCTAGATTGCGTTTGATATAGGATTTCGCAATGTGCAGATATATAATGATTACGTTAAGGCTATGTTCATAGATGAGTGGTTGGTGACCGAATGGTTTAATGCATGCGCTTTAAATCGTTAGGTTTGTCATTGTGTCAAGTGGAGTTGTTTCAGTTTCCAGCTCGTGTGACACGGAGTAGGGTCGCCTGTCGAACCTCATGGGTTTTCTCCGGGTCCTCCGGTTTCCTTCCACTGCTAAAGACCCATACGCACCAGTTTATTATTAAATTAAAACTAAACTATATGTTAGTCCCGAAACTACCTAGTTTGTGTCGAGTGGACTTTACCCCCCGCCCCCTCTCTCTCCCTCTCTCTCTCACTCTCTGGGGACACAGAGTAAGGTTGCCACACTAACCCTTGCCATCACCTTAGATTCACGTAATGCGTTTTTAAATCCTATTGTTAGAATTGCAACTTAACTCTCGTGCATCTCGGGAAGCAGCGTTTTATTAGGTGTATTTTAACGTATTTAACGAATCGCGTGATTAATGAGCGAGTAGGTTTATTTGTGTTGCAGACATTCAATGGCTGACATACTCAATCTAATTAACACTAAATGTTATTTTCGTTTCATTTATTCAGGCGATGTGGAGTAAACAACCGAAAAAACGGACGAAAAGTTGGTATACAATTTTAATTAGTCTGCTAGCACCCTTTGCTTTCCAATTGACATTTAGCACAAAAATATCGACTCGTGGAATTCAGTATTCAATTAAAGGAGTTCAAGTTACTCTTGTACTTGGAGGATGGTATCGCTGTTTACCAAAATTTTAAAGAAAGAATAAGTCTACCGCGTCTCGTGCACCACAGATTCATTCCTTAAAGCTAAATCCGACGTGGTTTCCCCTTGTCAGTGGTGCAGAACGGAGGGCCTGACAAGGAAAACCGAGGTCCCGTGTATACATCGAAATGCACGTAAAAGATCCCTTGGCAGTTGGAATTCTATATAAGGGTAGGCGACAGTGCCGCTGCCCGGGCAAAATTTCCCTCATAGCACACTGTATGGCGTATGCCCGTCTTCATTAGCCCAGTATAGGAGCAGAACAGTAGGACGTTAAACCTCATTTCATTTAAAGCTAAATATCTTAAAATGATATGGGGTTTAACTTCCTACTATTAGCCCCGACTGGGCTTATGACGACGGGCATACATCATACAGTGTGCTATGAGGGAAATTTTGCACAGACAGCGGTGTTACGGCCGACCCTTAATTCCAACTGCCAAGTGATCCTTTACGTGTACACGGAACCTTGGTTTTTCGTTACACACGAACGACTATACGATGTCCCTTACCGGGCCCTCTGTACTGCATCACTGAAAGGGACCTCCAGATTAGCGAGCCAACGTATTACTCACTGAACCACCGTGGCTCAAAAGCTATATACAGTGATAGTATGAAATAACAGTCAAGTAACGAGTTCAGAAGCAGATTGAACTGAAATATGCTACACGTATATAATGAATATCAAACCTTTTTAAATGTATATAAACACCCGTAAATCTGAGAATTCAAAATTGTTCAAAATAACTCTTTTTATCTAAAGTAGTGATGCGTATGCAACGCTTTAGAATATGCTTTTCATTAGTACTACCCAAAACAAATTCGATTGAAAATAACAATTAAAACGTCATTTCACAGTATGGTAGTCATAGACAAGTGCTATAATACTTATTATCAATTATACATGAAGTCGTGTAGAATCACTTTTCATACAATAAAACAATATTGATTACATCCTTTGATTTTGAGTGCTTTCAATCTTTTTTTCACGGCCATTAGATTAATGTTTACAGATCCACTCGACCCTGGATCCCAACAAAATATCGACAACATTAGCGTTTAAAGTGATTACTGGATGGCGTATACAGTTGCCTTGTTCAACTATTATCGGTTGACTTGGGAGTTGGGAAGTGAATAAGAGAACCTATTTAAGCTACATTTAATATATCTGCTCACACACTTAAATCATGGAATTTTTAGATCACTGGCCGATGCAATCACGTAGAGCAGAGTGTTTCCATGTTCGAGTTTCGCGTACACTAAATTTAATCCTTCGACAACTTACTTAAAAGATTACGCGAGTTACTAATAGACAATTTACAATATTTGCTACGAACCAAAAACACATAATTTTGATTGATTTTTTTGACCATCAGCTATTCGAATTGTAAAAGTTTACAGGAAGAAAGTATTAAGCGAATTCTAACATTGGTCATGTCTGAAAAGCATTTTTATAGAAATGTACTCGAAAAAGATGCGGTACGAGAAAAAATAAATTAAACCTTATGTCGGGATCTGGCTGCTTAATAAGATAAGATATTCTACTGCACGAAAACTTCCCTAACGTAAAAAGAACACAATAAGATGTCATACTGACATATAATTAGATAACAGATCCATGTTGTTTTTTGCATTGATTATTATGTTTTAAAAAAACTTTTGCTTTTGAACAAGCACCAGTTTTTGAACGGATGATCAAGGCTTTTTTTTAAAGCGGGTCTTTTTATTGTTATGTACAATAAACGGAATGAGTTTAATTGCTCATTCGTATGGAGTAATGCATCCCAGTCTTCCAGCTTACGGGGATCACGTGGCTAAGTGGGTAAGACGCTGGCTCGCTAGCCTGGAGGTCGGGTGTTCGATCCCTGCATTGGCCGAGAAAGTTCATCCAGATTTTCCGGCGTGGTTCCCCCTTGTCAGTGATGCAGGACGGAGGGCCTGAAAAGGACAGCTGTCTAGTCGTTCGGATGGGGGGAAAACCGAGGTCCCGTGTACACATTGGCGTGCACGTAAAAGATCCCTTGACAGTTGGAATTCGATATAAGAGTAGGCCGTGTGCCGCTGTCCGGGCAAAATTTTCCTCATAGCACACTGTATGGCGTATGTCCGTCTTCATTAGCCCAGTTCGGAGCAGAACAGTAGGACGTTAAACCCCATTTCATTTCTTCCAGCTTACGATTTCATTCCTCTAGTTGAACCGCTATCCTAGAGTGTAAATCTTTTGTGAGGACTTACCTTCTAGCTAGGGTGATATTGCTAGCAGCCAAACTATTTAACATCTAAACCCAAAACTGCGCATTCAAGTGCTTGGTGAGGCATAGACTGTCCCTGTCTACTATCATCGCAAATATATTTCACCACCGTTTCCGTATTTACCCAAATTAGTGGTTGTGGCTATTCGTGAACGAGGAAAGTGTATGTTTTCTGTTCTCAATACACACCTGTTTGATACACACAGGTGTTTGACTGATTAAGTAATTCTCAGACCCAGTGTACTGTCAACCAATTCAGGGAGAAGCTCGCAATGTAAATGGCTGGCGTCGCGCGCGAGGCAGAATGTGTTTGCCCCTTTCTAAACATCTGATGGAGCCCACATACTATTACACTAAATTGTTATACTTTGTATTTATGGTCTTCAAACTTGAATACTCTTAGGTTCAATGGTGTTGTATTTTATTGCATAGCCTATAAGTTTACTCTTAGTTCGTCTGTTTGTTTCGATTCCCCGGTTGCACGTGACAAGGAGTAGGGTCGCCTGTCCGACTTCGTGGGTTTTCTCCGGGTCCTCCGGTTTCATCCCACTGCTAAATAATTATTAAAATAAAATTGAATCATGTGTTAGTCCCTAGTTTGTGTTGAGTGGGCGTTAAACCCATCTGTCTCTCTCTCTCTCTCTCTCTCTCTCTTTCTCTCTCTCTTTGTTGTCTCTCATTTTTGTTTTCCCGAAGTTTATTTTTGGATAAACTGCTGTACATCGTAGAGTTAAAGAACACATTAGCGTTTCGTGGAATTCCGTTAATGTTTTACTGCTTTGTGACTCTTTGATGACTTTAAATCAATGAAAATTCTGTTTACCGGAATCATTTTAGGTATTTGATTGAAGTTTAACACACTGTTGATATGACAGAGTTACAAACCAAGTTCGCGTTTCTTGGGATTCAGTTTAATTTTTTGTAAAATCAATAAAAAAAAATTATTTTCTAGAAATTATTCATGTAATGTTACAGAATAATTCAGTGAAATTTCAGTTTTATAGAACAATTCAGTTTTACAGAATAATTCGGTGAAAATTCAGTTTTACAGAATGTATTCCATCCAAACGTATTTGGATTACATATTCACAGACATGTATACGCGGTCTCAACCTCTTATGGATACATGGATTGGAATTATTTGTCGATGTCGGTATAGGGGACATAATATTGTATTCCTTCAGAAATATGTTATCAGATGGTAATTAATTTCAGAACATTTGTACAGGAAGCAGATGAGAAATCAAGTCTTTCCCAAGCGTGACGTTTCTGTCATTATGACGTTATTATCCAAAAAGACGGAACCCTTAACACCAATGCCGGAGCCGAGTAAAATTTCTCTAAACTTTGTTCATGGTGATCAAATTTGGTAAGATTAACGTAATAATTAATTTTTCTGCACAGACCTAGATTTAATTTCGCCTGGAGCTGTACAGCGTAGTAAACGCTTACGCCCCCCCCCCCCCCCCACCGGATCATTCACTTGATTTGATATTTGTTATTTATTTCTTGCAATGTCTGTGTAGATTGTCTTGTCCGCAGGTTTGTTTTAATTTTATCGGTTTCGTTTTGCATGTAGTGTGCTTCTCCAGCACTTACTATTTTGGGAGATGCTAATTGTAGGCCGGTTGGTGGGGAGGTTCGGGAATTTGGATCCAAGTTTTGTCTTCTAAAAAGGGTTAGGGTCAGGGGCGGATTTGGCCATCGGGGGATCGCCCGAAGTGCCGGTCGGACAAAAAATGAAAAAAATAATTTTGCCCAATTCGTCTAAAAAAAACCTTTTTCTGCTGAACATTATATGGGGGCGGGGGTATTGGACCGGCCATGGAATGATGATGATCATGTTGTATGTGGCCGGTGGCTTTAACGGGCCGCCATGCCATCACTGGAGTCTGGAATGGGCTGGTATGGGGATTCCGAATTTCATCCGAAAAATTCATCGGATTCACCCGACACTGTCACCCGCAAATTTACTAATTATTAAGTCACCTGCACCCTGTTTGTGGTGATACGCCAGAAACGCTTGCCAATGGTTCGTATATCAAAAAAAAATTCAATTTTAAGGCCTCAGCAAATTTTGGTGAAAGCTGGTCTGCTGGCTGAATTTGACTGAGATTATAATCAGATATGCCACCAAATCGCATATTTGGGGTTCATTTTTCAAAATTTTTGCCGGGGGAGAGCAACCCCCCCCCTCCCGGCCCCAATCCGCCCCTGGTTAGGGTTAGTATTCCCCCAAACACTCATTTATATAAAGCGGCTATTGTGGACTCCGGAAATTCACGAACCTCCCCACCAACGGGCCTACAATTAGCATTTCCCTACTATTTTAGGATATAAAAAATAGTATAGGACCACCAGATAAAATCCTGACGCAGTAGAGTTAGTAAAGAGTTCATTAAAACAATCAATGTTGATGACGCGTCGCTCGGGAATTCTGTTTTAGTAATAATTAGCTTAAATTCCAATTTATAAACCTTAGAGTGAAGCCATGAGTTCAAGTTGTTTGATAAGACGAAAGTGGACGAGATTTTTTTTCCATATCGACAAGACTAAACGTTTATATTAGAGCCTACGATCTCCGTGAAAGCAAAATCAATAATTTGCGCTTTGAAAACATGGTTTTCTGACTTTTTGATTTATGTCTATTTAAGTATTGCATGCTTTCGATGTCGTTAACAAAAGGTGTCATGTTTTGCCTTTTAATATGACTCATTTTCATAACATATTATGAGAAAGAGAGATTATGGGTTTTAAAGATCACCCGACACAAGCTAGGTCATCTCGGGACTAACATATGTTTCAATTTCTATATTTCTATGTAAATAATCCGCTTGTGCGCAGGGGGTCTGGTGTGGGAGGAAGCCGGAGGACCCGGAGAAAACCCACAGGCGACCCTACCCCTTGCCAAGCGGGGAATCGAAACCACGCAACTTGACTCAATGGCAGACCTTATGCTTTACATTTAAAAGCCTTTTCCAAAAAAAAACAAACTGTAGAAACTATTTTCATTTCTTTTGAAACCGTAATTATAGCCATTTTATTTTATTTTAAAACATTAAAAGCTTTTTTTTTTGTTTTGAAATCTATAATAGCTATTTCTATTTCGTTTAATATCAGAGCTATTTTATATATTTTAGCTGTCATATTAATATGGATGTAAAAGGAAAATTGTGGTTTAATGCTTTTGTTCTAGAAAAAACTAGCTCGATCGTTAATCCTGATCGACGTCCGCGGTGCGAGAATTGTATATATGGAACCTGCCTCTTAACTTGAATGTCTACGGCTCTGATGATACTTCTGGATTTTTCAAGCCTGGTTATCAGTCGTTAAGGTGGCATCTGTGGAGATGACACGGGATGCTTGTCTAGTCGTTTGGGTGGAAAGAAAAGCCGAATTCCACCGTGTACACACTGACTTGCACCGCAAAAGAATCTTTGGTATCTGGAATCCGAAGAAACGCAGTGAATTCATAGAGCAAATGGTGCTTAAAATATCCACATTTCCTCTTATTTTGATAGCAAAATAGACCAGACTCGTGTAATTCTTGAGTGAATCTAGCCTGTAAAGACGAATAACGTCATACATAAAGATAATAAGCTTTTCTTATGGACATTGATTTTGTAAGCGAAGTTTGATACGACTACATCAAAATGTCCATTTAATTCAATATCATGTAAATGCATGTAGACTGTGGTTCCATAAATTCTATCCAGTATTAATTGATTGATCAATCACAAGCTTCGCATTTCCATTAAAATTGTTGATTTTGCAGGAAAGATCACGTTCACCATGAAACAAGTTCTCAACTTAGAGTATGGCCTCAGAGATGGGGGTTTCTTGTTCGCGAATACGAATCGGTAAGTTAAAGAGACGGAACTGGGAGATTTTGGAGCGATAGCAGAATTACACTGATCAGCAGTGAATATTCGCTAGACCGCTACAAAAAGGATTTTGCAATACCCCTGTGAAACAGATTGTGGTAGAATCTGACTGTCCAACAATCCCTAGATCTAACCCTGGTTCAGTGCAATACACTCAATATGAGGGGTGAACAGATTCTGTTATCTAGGAACAACGGAGGTGTATAACAGGAATTGTACATGATAAAAATCAAGAGCTTTAGAAAGCCTTTGTTTCTATACAGAAGCTATCTAAACTAGGCATTTATCTAAGTATTAGTGCTCTTGCACACATTTAAGCGACTTACAAAAGGTGCACCCTTGGTGGAAGAAATTAGACATAAAATTGTTCGGCTCCACAAATAATCCGGCTTGCGACCGTTTGAACAAATTGGGTATTGTTGGCTGTGAGAGTTGGCCATATCAAGATATTGTGGTGAGGTACACCTGACATTGTGACAATCATACAGTTGTATAACCATATTACATATTTTGGTAGATACGTCTGTCGTCTGTCCACATAATAATAGCTAAAACGGGGACTTTCTTTCTGTTCTCGCTATACAGTGGATAATGACTTCGTACGTCTTCTATAATGTCGATAGCAGTTTAATTTAAAATCAAATTTATATTTTGGGTGTGTTTCTTATGGATTAGATATTCACATAATATCCGTGTTTTAATGATATTTTTTGTTTAAAAAAACTAATTGGCCGGGGCCTTTATATATCTGCTACATCGGGCGTGAGTCGCCATTTTATCTATAAAAACATCCTTTTCCAGGTCCGCTTCCATCATATTTAGATTATTACAACCAGATTACTGATCAATTCCCGCACAGACAGAGCAATATTGAATCAATAAAAGTAAAAATGAGATTTACACCAGGACAAAGAAAATAGATGAACTTTGTATAATCGATCTGATACAAAGATTAATCATAATCCCTAATACAATCTATTTTTTATTTCATCCGATAAATTCTGATTTAGCTTTATAAATAACTATTCCCTTTATCCTTCTCATGGCCATGATTTTTATAGAAATTGTTTGCTCAGGGTAATTTTTTATCGGGGATTAGAATCTGTGATTTATTTGTAAATAAATCGTATTGATTGCAAATTATCTTTTGATATAATCAACACCGAATAATCGATAAAAAATCGGAGTTTTGTGACTTTGAACTTTGGGTTGTATAATTAAGTTTTTGCATATTGATCAACGGGTCAAAGATCTCTATAGCTTTCTCACGCGTTATCCAAATAAAATAGATTGGCAAAGAGCGAAATGTATCGGATGTAAGGGATCGAAATCGATTCTTTTCACTTGCGTAAAATAAAGAGTCGATTGAATACACAAGGACTATATTGGCCTGTATAAGAATCAGAAAAAAAGGTTCGCTACCGGAGTTTATTGTCTCGTTTAATCAGCGAAATAAAAGTAGCGTATCGATTTTAATCAGTATCACAAATATTTAAATTACTGGTAGTTCTTTACAGATTGTTGAAAAGAGAGCGGTTTAATATAGATTTCTATCTCATCTATTTTGTTTTAACCAAATATAACAAAAAAGGGACACAATAGTTATTCTATCCTGCATGGTTTTACACTTTGTAATAATAAAAGAACTGTTATTGATGCTGCGCATTCGTGCAAAAATACAACGCTTTCTCGCCGTAAAAGCGAGCTTTCAATGACTCTTATAATATCGATCATAAAATGTATATATGCTTACTTAATATAGTTTCTATTTGCTAGAGAGATTTAAAGGAGCAGTCCCAGATTTTACAGGATATCCGTTAATACTATAGAGTTCATGCAGATCAAACACGTGCTATGAAATGACGTATTCACCTTTTTTGAAAATCCAGCTCTTTATACTGAGATTTCCGGAAATGGTCGGAGTCACGGTGGCTCAGTGAGTAAGGCGATGCTGCGCTGGAGGTACCGTGTTCGATCATTGTGTTTACCGAGAAGGTTCATCTGGATTTTAAGACGTGGTTCCCTCTTGTCAGTGGTGCAGGACGGTGTGTGTTTTGTTGGGTTTTTTTTTTTTTTTTTTTTTTTTTTTTGGGGGGGGGGGGCTTACAAGCGACAGCGTAGTCCTTTATGGGGACGAAAAAAACGAGGTCCCGTGTACACATTGGCGTGCACTTAAAAGAAACTTTGACAGAATTCAATATAAGAATAGGCCGTAGTGCTGCTGTCCGGGCAACACTTCCCTCATAGCACACTGTGTGCCCGTCTTCATTAGCACAGTCGGTGCAAATTAGGACGTTAAACCCCATTTCATGTCACTTAATTTCGATTCGGCAATGATCGCCAAAATAGTTTACGCATAACGCAGTTAAAGATGGGTTGCATTTATTTATGTGCTGGTTAAAACCAGACACTGCTGCACCTGTCATTTTTGAAACTTTGTTTTGAAAACATTATAATATCTGTTTCAGTTGTGCGGGACTAAAATCGACAAACGTTTCAAATGGTTTTTCTCACAGAATTATCCAGTTTTATTTACGACAATGCTTCAGTATGAGAAGGTTGATTAAATATTTTAGGTTAAAGCTGTTTTTTTTTTTTAAATTTGGTCCATTACGGTTGAGTCAGTAGGATACAAAGTGTCTGACACATTATTATTCTCGCAAGAAATCACTGTTTTTATACGCCCACATTTTCATGTGGTCGTAAATTGTCGTTGCCCCTGTCCGTCCATCCACAATTTGTGTGTGGACACTCTACATGTCACAATTTTTATCCGATTTCGAGGAAACTTGAAATATATAGGTTAATTCCCAAAGATCTTGGTCCTTTCGATATTGGCATGTATCGGTTCGTAACTTCATGGATTAGGACCCCTGATTGTACGAAACATCACGTGTTTAGCTTATGGACACTCTAGAGGTCACAATTTTTGTCCGATTTTGATGAAATTTGAAATGTATGTTTATAACTAAACAATCTCGGTTCTTTTCGATATTCGCACATATTGGCTTGGTCTGTAACTTCCTGGATTATGGCACCCTGATTTGACGAAACAATCACGATTTTAGCTTGTGGAACCCTCTAGAGGTCATCATTTTTATTCAATTTTAAAAACCGTTGTAATACATCACTGTTACACCTTAATGGTGGTTGAGTTTGAATTTCGTGAAAATCCAACCGAAACAGCCCGACGAAATGGCCGCCCCTTGTACGAAAATAGTGTAAAAGTTGAAGTCACAATTTTTATCCAATATTAATGAAACTTGAAATGTTTGTTCATCTCGTGCAAAATGTGGGCGTATCTTGCATGGCAACCACTTGCTTGTTTAAAGGTACATTCATTATGTTACAGCTAAATCTGCCTATTGCATGCCTTTATTTTGGCTTAAAATGTTATCTAAGCTTAAACTATTATTTAGACGTTTATTAACATGACAAGCCCATATTCAACTATCTGGACTATCGGATGGCAGAGATTTACATGGATTAGAACGCCCGCGAGATTTAAAATTTTAACGATAAAATGAATGAATAATCGAGACTTAGTCTCATTTGTCCAGTTCTGTTGCTACGGTAATAAACCATCAACATCTTCCAACACTCATCCGTTTTCATAAGCTCAGTCTGGACAGAACAGTATAACGTTAAACCCTATTTCATTTCTAACACTCATAACTAGGCCCAGAATAAAGTAATTTGAATGAAATTTTCAATATATTCATTTTTTATTATCAACTTTTGAACTATTATTAGTATTTTAGCAAGAACGGCCAGCTCTTTATCTAAATCTTACATAATGCATCTTTTAATATGTTCGATGCGTACAATTTCTAACTACGCCACTGCTGAAGCGGAATGGGAAGAAAACGAAAATCACAAGAACAAAAAATGGAAGACAATGTTAGGTTAAAATGCGAAATCAGAAACGTTACAATAACAGAAAGTCTTACTTTAGAACAAAAGTAAAAAGAAAACCATTAAATGAAACATCACCATATTATCACTTAACGTCAAGATGTGGATATAGTTTTTAGGTTGGGTATTCTAAATTTAATATTAACCTGTAAATTAGCTATATTTGAGAAAGCCTTTTAGCGATCTGTATTCAGGATATTAGTTCTCTTAATGTCTGTAAATGTCCAATGCCTGATCTTTATGTTGTTTATCAGAAGCCAAGGAATTACACAGATAATTCCTACAAGAACAAATTATAGCCAATGTCGAGCAATGTGATATTCCTGTTATTCTTCATCACGAACAAGTTTTATAAAACAGGGCAAAAGTGTTCCTACTGATAGCAAATTTCTAGATGAATGTTTATTAATTTAAAATTGAAATACATTATAGCACATCTGTACACAATGAGCTTTTCTTAAAAGGGCGTAAGGCTCTATTTTTTGGAACCTTGATTTATATTCAAGTTTTGAAAACAATATTGTTATTTCTAATCAATTATGTTCGGGGAAATACGTGAACAGTTCAAATTGAACGGAAGTTGTTTACGCCTGCTTAGTGCATTCTACATGGTTTTTTTTATAAGCCCACATTTTCATGTGGATGTATATTGTGGACTCTCTACAGGTCACAATTCTTGTCCGATTTTGACGAAAATTGAAATATAGGTTTATCCCCAAAAGATCTCGACTGCTTTCGATATTGGCATCTATCGGATCGAAACTTCATGGATTATGGCCCCTGTTTGTACGAAAAATCACGTTTGTAGCTTGTGGACCCTATAGAGGTCACAATTTTTATCCGATTTTGTTGAAACTTGACATGTAAGTTTATTACCCACAGATCTCAGTTCCTTTCGATTTTCGTGCATATCGGACCGTAATTTCCTGAATTATGGCCCCTGATTGTACGAAAAATCGTGTTTTTAGCTTGTGGACCCTATAGAGGTCATAATTTTTATCTGATTTAAAAAACCGTATTATTATGTCACCGTTACACCCTAAGGTAGGTTGAGTCCGAAT